ACCTCTTGTGGCAAAATTGACACCAAATTCGTCCCGAAAACCACCCGAAAAATCACGAAAGCTGTCCGAATGAGCAATCACCTCAATCCATTGCTAGATGGTGCTGCAATCAGTGAGAGACAAAATCAAGTTGGAATGGATTTGTTGAGTGTCCTTTTGAAATTCTGAGATTTGCCTCGATATTAAAGGATAATCACGTGAATAACACATTCAATTCCTTCATAGAGAATACACTACATCTGATTCAAGTCAAGTTGAGTGATACTCCCGATGTGAAGGAGAGAATTTCGCTGGCAGAAATGTTTCAAGGTAAAAAAAAATCAACATGGAGGTTTTTTTAGAACGAAACTTGTGATGTAATTGCGATCAATTTACAGCTTCAAAGGTGCCTGATTTATCCTTAGTGACTGAATATCCTGAGAAAGTGGGATTTGATGCTGTCGACTTGATGGCAATGGAGATTTTGATCGACCAGGGAGTTGATGTGGATTCCATTGTTGAGGACTTCAATATTGCAGAGATCAATGTTGATGCTTCGGATTTTGGTATTTAATTTACCTTAATTTCTCTTTAAAGGCGTATTTTGATTGACACAATGACTTCTTTGTCAGATTTCCTGGACAACTATCAAGAGGTTGCAATGTTTCCTGATGCTTCGCCGCAACTTTCCCCGCCAGTGAAATCTCCTGAGGAGCAGCAAATCTGCGAACCTCTTTATTTCACTATTCCCGGGGAGGACAACGCAGAGGTGCCTGCTCAAGTTGCTGAGCCCGCAGCGACGACGACGGCTTCTGTCGAGGTCCCGAAGTTTGTGATCTTGAAACCTCCGCTGCAAGTTGTGACGGAATCTTCGGAGGACGAGCAGGAGATCAATTTGGGGACTGATGCGGAAGAAATGCCAAAGGCCGAGATTACGATTCCTGTAATTCCCGCAACAGTGACAAAACCCAGAATAAGAAAGCAGATCTTCAAGAAGCAAGCACCAAATTGCCAGGAACGTCCAATGTTTACTCCAATCGTGACGACGCCTAAGAAGAAAAGGAAGAAGTCTGCTGCTCAAGTGAAGAGGCAACTCTTCCCGGCTGACATCAAGGGGGCTGCAGAGAAGGAGAACATTCCTCCGGAGGATTCGAGTCGCGGAGAGATGCCAAGGCAGGAAGCGTCACCAAATGTGTCTTCAAAAATCACCATTGCGACTCGCCGAAGTCTTCGTATTAACAATTTCATCTCTCGCGAGAGCAACAAGGAGATCTACTTCTCCTGTGACATCTGCCCGAAGATCTTCAAGGAGAAGAAGATGATTGAGAAGCACCGCAAGAATCACGCCGCGAAGTCGCCGCAGTGAGTAGAAGTTTGCGAAATACGTATTTACGAAGTATTTACGTCGTGCACTTGGTTGTGTTGATTATGATTTGATTAACGTGGAATCAGCAGTTAAAGAAATTTAGCATTATCAAGACAAAATTTCTTATGTTCATACATTTCTCATACATGATGTATTTTAAATCTTAAAACACAGGTTTTTTAGAATTAAAATAATTTCCTGTCAAATTACCATCGGATAAGTTAATAATTTTCAGTAATTATCAAAGTGAATTCTTAAACATAGGTAATATTTTAAAAATCTAGCATTATTTCGTGGTAATTTCCGCCAGACGCCAAAAGAGTTGAAGAGATTGAGTGGATTAATAGTTTTGTCACGTTAAAGACATTATTTTCACATCAGATAAATCAATTTATAAGTGAGTGGAATGCTAGAGTCGGCTAGAAGAAGCAAAAAGTTAATTTACAATGCATTGATTTATTTGATATCTTTATGTTATGGTGTTTCCTCTTCGACAAATTAATTCAGTTGAACAAGTCAATTAAAGGGCAGTTTGAAGCAAATTTTATTCTGACGTCATTAAAAGAAGATATTTAAGTATGAAGTGATAGAAATAAACCACATCGATTCGCAATATTTGGTCTTATTTGTACGAAAAGTTTAAATAATGTTCTATATAAGAGTGAAATTGACGTGTTACGAAACTGTTTCGTTATCACGTGAAAAGTCTTGCAAAAAAGAGAGAGACAGACAAGATCAAATGAACACACTTCTAGAACGCGTTGAATGTAACGCCATGGCTTTAATTTGATTGTCAAAATTTACGCTTAGGAAGGAGAAGAATCTCTTGAGACCCTGACCATGATTTTTTCCCATTTAGACGTGTGATAATTAGTAATTAATTAATTTGTGTGTTTGGCCAGCGTGTTTAATTTAAATTCTGTTCACTTTGTGGGTGTGCGGAATGTGCGCGACAGAAGAGAATCCTTTAATTCCTCATGCTGTCAAAGAGTGATTTAGTGGCTGTTTTTTTTTATCTCCTCCTCCCGCTGTCTATAAATATTCTTTCGATGATCTCTCTCTGTCTCTCTCCCTCTATTCTTAATCCCCACTTTTCGGGGTTGATTTGAATGCTCTGCAGGTGTTGAGCGAACGTTCCCCAATGAGATTTTCACACTTAAGAATTCTGGGAGGGCGCAAGAAGAGTGTTTGTTGAGAAAAATTGCCAGTGAATTTGGTGGGGAGAATTTCACTGGGATATAAAATTGTGATCTGTCGCTGATGGTGTCAATTGCATTTGCTAATCTATCGTCTCTCCAGTGAGTGTTGTTGCCACAGTGATCAAGTCGCGTTGTATTCGTTAAAACACAGTGAAATATAAGACATTGTTTGAATTAGTACGTCAATTAACTAAATAAGAGTTTTTTTTCGCCTTTATGTGTGTCTTGAGTGAAAAGACTCAAAGATTGTGAGTCTATTTGATCATTTGGTGAGTGAAAATTTACGTGAAAAAGGAACAATAAGTGCAAAGAAGTGACGATGAAGATTCGCGGATCACATCAATTGTGCCATTTGCTCAGCCTATTTGTTCTTGTTCAGGTGTTTGAAGGTAAGACTTGTGTTTTTCCTCACTAAATATATATTTGCTCTAGAATTGCACATCACGTGAATTGCACAAATTTGATGATAAACGAGAGAGTGAGAGAGAGAGAAAAATATGCTAAATTGCTTGGCTCGTTAAGGGAAAATATCTTGTCACCTAGATTTAAATCTCATGCTAATTCTCTCCATTTGGTCATTTATATAATGCATGTCTGAAGAGTCTGGCGTCAATATTGTGTGTTTTGAGAGGTGATTTTCCCCAGATGTAAACTGTGTAAATTTAATATTGAATATGATCATTTTTTTTTGGTGTTATATTTGCTCTCAAATTTTACTGCAAATAAACGTGATGTGCGCATGTTCACGCGTGCAAATTGACTTGTATTGAAACTGATCGTCAGGCGATTTTCATGTGCTTTTCAGGTGATTGCCATCGCTTTGGATACAGTCAAGCTGAGCAGAGAAGATGGTCGAGGAAACATGGAACGTGCTCGGGAAAATATCAATCACCAATTGCTATCAATTCCAGAAGGGTATTTAGAGCAATTCACTTTGCCTTGCTGCTGAACTTGAGGTCTTCCTTTCCTCCTTTCAGGCCTTTCACTTACCAATGCCAGCACTGGAATTGGTGGGTTATCACAATTTACTTCCAGGACCAATTTTGATCCACAACAATGGCCATTCAGTGTCTTTGACGATTCCCAAGCCAACCAGTGTGCAGCTTGAGCAGGGAATTAAGCATCCCTACATATTCGGTGGCAAACTCAAGAGTGAATACGAACTGGAAGGTCTGCATTTTCACTGGGGCGACAAGAATAATCGCGGTGCTGAGCATGTTCTCAATGATATTCGCTATCCCATGGAAATGCACATAATTCACCGCAATCGAAAATACAAAGATGTTGCTGAGGCGCTCAATTATGGTGATGGATTGACAGTTTTGGGATTCTTCTATCAAATTCAAGAGCACGACGGTGGAGAATTGGCGACTATTGTGAGGAATTTGAGTCCAGTGTCTGATTTTGATCGGACTTATTCACTCAATTTCACCTTTTCGCTGTCTTCGCTCATCTCAACGGTGGACACGCAATTATTCTACACGTACAAAGGCTCCCTCACAACTCCTCCGTGCTCTGAAGCTGTCACGTGGATTCTCTTTCCCGATCCACTGCCCGTTTCTGTGTCGCAGATGAACAAATTCAGACACTTGTCGAATGGAATTGAAGGATCTGTGCTTGTGGACAACTATCGAGCGCTGCAACCGCTGGGAAATCGAAGAGTTTTCGTGCGGAAGGTGAATGAGAGAAACACTCACTTGAATACGATAGATAAGAACCTTCACTACAACAAATGGGATTGGCTGTATTAATTGATAGATTGCTTTGAAGTTGTGCTGATTTCTCTATACTGAGACGCCCCAGAATTGTGTAGATAATGATATTACTTGTTATATAAAGGGTGGGAAAATGTGCAATGACCAGACAGAAAGGTGGCAAAACTCCATTGAATACTTTTGACCTCTCAATAAAATTATGCCTTATCTTTATGATTTTTCGGGCTCCGTCAGACTCATAAAGTTTCGTCTGCGCAAAATGTGAGCATTTTACAACCTCACGGTGCTAAAAAAGATTACTTGAGAATACTTAAATGCTGATAGAGCAAAAAATTGGGCATGCATGAGTTGTTTCCATGCATTTCAGTAATTAAAACCATTAAAACAGATTTCAGATGAAGTTTATTGAGTGCTTAAGTAAATGGTTTTGAGATGAAAGTTATAAATACACAGTTACTAATATTTATTAATAATTGTAATATTAGAATTGTTCTTGCTTCTTACATTATTATTATTGAATCTTGTTAGAGAGCAAATATGATTAGAAATAAATTTTATGAATTTGTGTTCAATATTCATTTGATGTTAAAGATCTGAATGTCCTAAAGTCAAACACTGCGGATCATCTTTGAATTCTCCGACATTTTGCAAGACTCCGTGCGGTGCACACTGCCAAGGATCATTTGTGTCTTGCAGCCACTTCTGCAGGCGTTCCTGGAGTTCCGCCTTCACCTTATCCATGGCTTTGTTGGTAAAGAGATTTCTCAATTCTCCCGGATCTTGCTTCAGATCATACAATTCCCATTCGTCTCTCTGGTAGTATCGCTTGAGGCTCTTATACCACGGCAGAGGTTGTTTTGTCATGGTCCTGTTGAGGATGTCCTGGAATGTGGGCGACACATAGAAGTCCTGATCAATTGGAAAGGGTGCTTGATAGTTTAGATTGTGAATCAGTTTGTAGCGCCTTGTCCTGATGGCTCTCATTGGGTAATTCATGGTGACTTCGTGATATGATTGACTAGCGAAGATGGCTGCGTCGGGATCATTGGGTGGTTCAGCAGTGATGATTGGCAAAAGGGACTTTCCGGTTAATTTTGTCTTGGCTTTCTTGGGATATTGCACGCCGTACCAGTCCAGGAAGGTTGGAAGTAAGTCTAGAAGGCTGGTTAGAGTGTAGCTAACTTCATTTTTACGGGCATCTGATGCTGGCGATCGGATAAACATTGGTTCAGCAATGCCGGGATCGTAAAAGTTCGTCCTTCCAGACGGTAGAGGAGGACCATTGTCTGAAGTGTAAACCACAAGGGTGTTGGAGTCAAAGCCAGCGTCTTGGAGCTCCTTCAGGACAAGTCCGACGCCTTGATCAAGGCGTGATATTGTGGTGTACTGCGCAGCGACGTCTCTTCGAGCTGGTTCGGTGTCTGGAACGTAGAAAGGCAGATCAATCTCATCCCAGACATAGTAGATTGGATGCCAGTCCGGAATGAGACCCATTCCTTCCTCTCCACTTCCCCAGCGTTCGCAGAAGCTGCCATACTGAGGCGTCACATGTCCACAGCGATGCGGATCATGAAAGGAGACCATCAGGAAGAATGGTCGAGTGTCGTTGGACGATAGGAATTCCTTCACGAGGTTCTTGATATTGGTGATGTTTCGGCCGACTTGATTGATTGGAAATTGCTCTTCTGTTCTCTCAAAATCGAATTTGTACACTTCAGACGGCCCAACGTGTTTCTTTCCAATGATTCCAGTGCGAATATTGCCCTTGCTTCCCAGCAGATTAGGCAGACTGACGATGGAATCGAAGGTGTTGAAGTGATGAACACCCTGGTGAAGACCATACATTCCATTCTGATGACTCGGCAAGCCGGTGAGCAGAGCTGCTCGGCTTGGAGAGCAGCTGCTGACTGAAGTGTAGGCGTTGTTGAATATCACACTCTGCTTCGCTAAAGCATCGAGGTTTGGGGTTTGGCAGATGCGATTCCTATAGGCGCCCATCTCGAAGCCACCATCATCGGCTGAAACGGAATGTTAATTCAAACAGGGTGCTCAGCCGAGACTCGTAGTTTGTGGGCGAACGGCGAGACAGTCGAGACACTCACCGAGGAGCAGCAGAACATTTTGCTTCGAAGGTGGCTCTAGTTGTATTGGACGTGGCACCTCAAGAATTGCCGGCTGTGCAGCCGATGACAGTGCCACAGAAACGATAAGGAAAAGTAAATATTTCACTATCATTTCATCAGAAAATTTCACGCACATCCACATCAATTTCCCAGAGACTCTAGAGAGCGCGAGTCACAGAGTGGAAGAAATATTCTCTCTATTTGGTGGATTCTGTGATGAGAAATATACTGAGCAAGACACGTAGTGAAAGCTTTCAGCGAAAGTAACTGAGAGACACTGAAGGCGTCTTTGGATATTCTGTCAATCTTCACGTGATCCAGAAGGCGGGGTAAAAAACCGTGATTTTATTATCTTTTTTGCCAGTGTATTTTATTTGAGCGTGTTTTCTTATTCCAGCCATCATGACAAATCTCAAGCGAGACGAGATTCTCCTACTCTTCGACGTGGATGGCACTTTGACGGGTCCCAGGATGAGAATAACTCCTGAAATGGAGGATTTCCTGTACCTCAAAGTCCTCCCGAAGGCGACACTTGGCGTCGTGAGTGGATCGGATTTGGAGAAATTGTTTGAGCAAATCAGTCGCGATAGAATTCAGGAGTTGGACTATGTTTTCCCAGAAAATGGACTTGTTCACATTGAGCGTGGTCAGGAGAAGAGTCGACAATCGCTGCAGAATCACTTGGGAGAGGAGAAGATTCAGGAGTTTGTTAATTTCAACCTTCAGCATCTCTCGACGATCAAATTGCCACTCAAACGTGGCACGTTCATTGAGTTCCGAAGTGGAATGATTAATATCTCGCCAATTGGAAGGAATTGTACGCGTGAGGAGAGAAATGCCTTTGCGGAGTACGACAAGGAGCACGAAGTGCGGAAAGGAATGATTGAGGTGCTGAGGAAGCAGTTTCCCAATATTGATCTCACTTACAGTATTGGTGGTCAAATCAGCTTTGATGTCTTCCCGAAAGGATGGGATAAATCCTACTGCCTTAACCATGTCACGAAAGGTAGAAACTTCAAGGAGATTCACTTTTTCGGCGATAAAACCGATCCAGGTGGAAATGATCATGAAATCTTTGCTGATTCACGAACTGTTGGACACAGTGTCACATCTCCGGATGATACCAAAAGAAAGTTGCAGGAACTCTTGGGAGTTTAATGTGAAACTGAAGCCTTTTCACAAATATCTCTGATTGTAAATGCACTTTATCACATAAATTTGTGTTGTTACTGTGTACAGAAGACGCTTATTCACCCTTGTAGATGGGCTTTCTCTTCTCGGCGAATGCCTTCAGGCCCTCAAGACGATCAGTTGTTGGCATTACTTGGGCATAACAGGCCTCTTCAATGGCAAATCCCGTGTTGATATCCACCTGGATGCCATTGTTGATGGCTTTCTTGGCCATTCGCACGCCAACTGGTCCATTGGGGAGGATTTCGGTGGCAATCTGCAAGGCTCTCTGGTATGCGGCGTCTTTGGTGTCATTCTGAGGCACAGTGTGAGTGCAGATTCCCATTTCCTTGGCCTCCGTGCCATTGAATACCTTCGCCGTGAAGATAAGTTCCTTGGCCAGGCTGGGACTGACAGTTCTGGGAAGTCGTTGAGTTCCTCCAGCGCCGGGAATAATGGCTAAGCGTGTCTCAACGAGACCCATCTTGGCATCAGCTGAAGCACAGCGAATGTCACACGCCAGAGCCATTTCCAGACCGCCTCCCAGGGCAAATCCGTCAACGGCAGCGATCACGGGCATTGGCAGCTGTTCAATCTGCGTCAGCATCCCTCGGAGCTTCTTCACGAACCTCACCACTTCCTCGGGTGTCATCTTGGAGCGCTCCTTGAGGTCGGCACCAGTGCAGAAGGCTCCGGGAACGAGACTCCTGAGGACAACCACGCGGCAGTTCTTGTCATGCCACAGAGCATCCACGGAGTCGATCAGCTTGTTCACGAGGGATTGTGAAAAGGCATTCTTGGCACTTGGACGATTGAGAGCGACTACGGCGATTCCTTCCTTGTCACCCTTGAGATACTCCAACTAGAATTACAGGAGAGGCGATCAAGTCTCGATCAGGATGATCAGTTTAGGGAGATTCTCACCTCAATCTCTGTCTCCTTGGCAGCACTGAAGTGTCTGTTGATGATCGGGGAGAAGGTTCTGAGGCTGCGGAAGTTCCTGAGGAGTTGAGCCATTTTTACGTAATAACAACCAGAAGACTGATAACTGCCCGCGGTGATTTTGACTCGCGCTGTCAAGCTAAATCGGTCGTAATCAGACCTCGAGCGCCCTCAATCAACATGTGGGGAAGTTACATTCATGTTGCTTTAATGTTCAGAACTTCAAGTGCATCAGAATTAGGGTCATCGTGTAATAACACATAAGAATACCTTGTGTGGTCAAGATTTTCTTCTTAGAAATCAATTAATAAAGTGATGAAGAAGATGCGATGTAAGGTTATTTTTATGCTCTCAATTCTACAGAATATTTTCATACTTGATTTCACACCTTATCTATGAATGTTGTTTTGAATATACATGTCGATCAATTTCCTTGGGTTTCCACATCATCAGAAATATCAGTGAACGATGATATCGAGTAATGGAGCTTCGCCCATATATCATTGCACACTTCTTTGTCATCACTGACCCAGTGTATTAAAAAACCAATCATAAATTTCCTTTCAATGACGCACATGAAGAGTTGAAAGGTCAATAAAATGTAAAATCATCACACTATCAATACATTAACAGCATTTGAGGTGGCAAACGAGGTTTTATAATAAATTAGATGTAGTCGTGGAAATGCTTTTAGAGATTGTTATCAGATTGCGGGGGAATTTTCCATATTTTATTTTTGGAATTATCGTTGGCTTATTTATTTAACTTATATATTTTACAATTCATCCTCTTGATAATACAAATAATATTCTTTTATCATTGATAATCTATACCTGAAGAGAACTATACAATTTTGGTTTCTGCAACTAAATCATTCACACATATTTACTTAATAGAAAAAAAGGTCCTTCAAAACCATTTTAAATTAATTTATAGAAATTGAACTCAATGTTCAAGAATATATGTTCATTTAAAAAAAAACTGTTGATGCATATCAACACATTTTGTTCGTTGGTTTTTTTTTTAATAATATAATTGTGACTATTAACCTTATTATTTACACACTTTTGGTAAAAGAAATCTTCCGCACTACCTTTTCTGCTAACACTTTTTTTTTATCCTGTGGCTCTTTTGTGTCTTTACATATAAAATTCTTAAATTCGATTTCACATCCTTCTCAACGAAGGAAAGCGCTTCTTTTGCAGTGCGATCTTAACATCTGTGACTAGCCTATCTTGTTCAGTGGCACCTCTTCGGCTGGTCTCACTTGATCTGTTGGGGCTGGTCTTCTGGTTCGCGTTCGGCACATTTTAGTCTTAATACCGCAGCAATCTCGTCTGCAGATGACGCCAATTGCCAGTCCAACAATGGCTATTATTATGATTCCTGCGAAAGTGGAAAATAAGGTGTTATTGAGGACTTGCAAGATAAGGTTTTGTATTGCCGATGGGATTACCTATGAGGATGTTGTTGATAGTTTCAGCTGAGAGTTCAACAACGCCTCTGGAATCGATTCCTTTGGCTGGCGTGTTTGCCACACTGTCCTCTGTTGTTGTCATATTGCTGACCTCTGTGCTGTTGTCCATAGATATGATCCTAACTTCGCTGGATATTGAACTGAGGTCCTTTCGATTTTCGGGTGCAGCGGTTGTCGATGATGTGGACTCAGAGGACTCTGCGCTGACTGATTTGGTGGTTGACGGAGTGTGTGGCGTTGTGGATGTTGGTGGCGGTGACACTGTTGATGGTGGATGCGTGGCGATGCTCTCCTCAAATGTCGATCCCGATGCCAATTCGAAGCAACTCAGGATGAATGTGGGAAAGCGTATTTCATCTATGGACACGAGATTGTCACATAACTCTGGAATGTTGTCCTGATGCAATGTAATGCTCTGGAAGTGCTGCAGACTCTCCAGTGGTTTGAACACATCCACATTCAAGTTCTGCAGAGAGGAGAGAATTGAGAGATTGTCAGAGGAATTGGATGGACGAAGAATGTGTGGGGGAAATCAATTCACCTCATCGATGGGATTGTTGTAGAGATTGAGTGCCACCAAACCACTCAGATTTGTGAAGGTGGTGAGATGGAGATTGCTGATATTGCAGTCACTCAAGTCGAGTTCCTCCAGGCTCGGTGCATTCAGCAGTGATGCATCTTTTGGAATCTCCAGTGGATTTCCACTCAGGTTCACCTTCTTCACGTCTGGTGAATGGGCCAGGGTGTCCGGATCGATGTGCTTGAGATGATTGTGTGACAGGTCGACACTATCGAGCCGGTCTAGTTGGGCAAATGCCTTTTAAAATATGACAATTATCTCTCCAACGAGGTGTGTCTTTGGGTCGCGGGGACATGGACTTACCATTTTATCAATGCTGGCCAGCTGATTGCCACGCAGGTGGATTTCTCTGAGGTGCGTCGCATTGCTGAAATCATCGATGTGCACTGTGGTGATGAGGTTGTGATTGAGATCGATAAATGTGGTGTTTGGCGGCAGATTTGCGGGCACTTGTGTCAAATTTCGCCGACTGCAGTCAACAAAGGAGTGCGGAAGGCAAGAGCACTCCGTTGGGCATTCTTGCGCAGGAATTTCCCCATCCGCGTCACTCTCCTCGTCGTCAAGCACTTCCCCTGCAGTTGACTCAACGGATTTTTCGCTAAACGCCTCTTTCACCTTTTCCGCCAATTCGGTGATGTTGAATCTCTCCATTGACTTATCGGGCGCTTTATCAGTTTGATTTTCACTCTCTTCCATATAATCTTCATCCTCATACTCTTCATACTCCTCGTCCGTGACATCTGCCTTTACTATGCTACATCTGCAACAGGGAGTTGAGAATTCATTAGAAAACATTTATCTTTCGTTGCGCAATTCGGCACACATCTTATTTGTGAGATTGTTGAATGTTAATTCAAATATTGTTCTTGGGATTTACTTGGACTCTTTGTCTCATTTTCCAGCGACTGATAAAAACCCCCTTTTTCTTTCCATCCAATCCAATTTGGCAAAAGATAATTTCACGCGTTTAATGATGAAACAGCACCCATGAAAGCCCAGACACTTTATGGATATACAGCATCATTGTGTGTTTGTTGGTGGAAAAAGCATTCCTACCTTTTTTCGTCTCTAATATTCATCACTTGATGGTACTTTTGAGCTCAAGAATATTATTTATAACACCCAGTGTCTCCTACAGTGGGAATATGTTTTTTTTTTGAGGCGATAAGGTGCGGAAAAAAATTGTCACGAAAGTCGCGTGGTTTTCGTGAAACATATGGTGAGTGTTGGACATTCACGCAATGTTATGGAGAATTTAATTATACATGGAAATATTTGAAATAATAGCATTTTTACGCGCTCAAAGTCTCTGCAATAAGGAATGAATTTTGCATTTTGCAGCACAATTCTATTGATTTTCTCACACGATCATTTTGTCCTTGACCTCCGGGCAATTTATACATTTGAGTCAACGTCAAATACTGTGATTTGATGAACTATTGAAACACATTGTGCTAATAATAACGAGATAAGTTTAGAAATTTGAATATCCTATTTTCTATGGAATGAAAAAAGAAATTTGGTGATTCGCTGATTATGATGAATTGAAAAAAAAATCTGCCACGCCTCCATCAATTCGAAGATTTCTCACCAAGGAGAAGAGTAATCTATTGAAAATGTTCCGCTTTTGATTTCTTATCGTGAAAATGAGGAGAAGAAGAAAAAATCTGACCATAAATTACCTGTGGCAAAACTTGCGATTTCAACACTGTATCAATGAACCTTATTGTATTTACTTCCTTTAGGCTCACAGTGTACATAAGGAATTTGCTAAAGACATGCTTTCAATCAAAATTTAAATTTCGAATTTTTGAGTGTGTTTAAAGTAAAGAAAATCCGAAGTCAGTGAATCATAAATGAAGTGAAAGAGAGTCAGTGTATAATTTTATGGGTTCATGTGAGGTTATCGAGTAAATTGTCGCTCTAACTATTGCTTGAGGTCCTTTTTTCAAATTGACTAATGGAAATCTCTGGATTTCATTAAATATTGAATTGAAAAATCGTGTGTAGAATTTCTCATGATGCATAAATATTGAGTCATGGTTGTTTGATAGGTAATTTGATGTGGTTGGAATGTGCTTAGCTTATTACTCACCTCATTGATAAAATTCCTACAAATACAATCAGTCCAAGTGTTAATTTGTAATCCATTTTTGCTGGTGAAACAAAAAATGCAGCTTCTTCAATATTTGCTATTTCTTTTCACAATTCTTTTTATTTCGTCTCGCCGTGAATTGGTTCAATTTATTCTCCACTGTCTTCTTGTGTGTGTGTGTGTGTGTTTTAGTTGAGAAATTGAATTAGATCAATTTAATTGATACACACGCAAAGATTGAAGTTCACTGATGAATTGGCTATTTTGTCACGCTGATGAACTGTTTTCTGGGCCGATGATGAAGAGTGGTTTGGTGTGCGCCAAAGCCATCCGGCAGCAGTCAACTTCACGGAATCACTGAATTTCATGTGCGATATCGAAGATTGTCTGAGCCACAAAAATGTTGCCTTTTCCTTATCATATTACTCGGTGTAAAGGTTCTGGATTTTCTCCCACTCTTTTTTACGTGTTATACTGCGTGTCTCATTTGGGTTGCATAGCGTTTCTCTGTTAATAATTTGCTATTAACTTTTATTGTGACTATGGCTGAGGAGATTATTCGGGGGGCCGTTTTTATCTTATCAAATTAATTTGCTGAGCCACTTTCTGACCACTCCTCTCACTCTCCGGCAAACTCACAGTGAATCCCTCGCGCAAATGTTGCTGTTCACCTGCGATTCTAAGCATTCTACACCGGCGATTGAGTGTTTTATTTTCTCTTGATATTACGTGTGTTCACTTGTGGTGTGGTGAAAATTGTATCACACACATTTTACTGAACAGCAACACAAACACACAGCTAAAAATAGGTAATTAGAGAGTATATCTGAGATAAATTACCGGTTTTTTTTTGTGCACACTCGTGGTCTGTCTTTGCCGGCAAAAATGCTCAAGAACTCAGCATGATGAGTGTCTTTTTTGAGCCGGTTCTTGCAAAATATACTTCACGACTTTGGCCACTTTCTCACCTGTTTGAATTGGTAGGTAATCGTGAATGAGTCTCTCTTGAGCACAATACGTTGCTATTTTTGCTGGTGATGAGTCTTGTGCAACACGTGGAGAATATGATTACTTAACACGCTTTTACTGTTGGGAGTTTGTTTTATCACATTCGGGCTGATGAGTGCACAATTTAAGGGGGGGAAATATACTTATGGCAACTTCATTTCAGGATTCTTTCTCTCACTTCTCAACTTTCCCACAGAGGCACTGAGCAATTTTAATCAATCGTTTTTGAATGAAACTAAACACACAATGAGGGTATCGGTTCAATGGCTGTTATTTTTGTATATGAGAAATAGTCGTGCTGATGATGAGAGTGTTGTAGAGCTAAAAAGCACGCACGAGAGATAGTAAAATTACGTATTTATAGACAATTTCTCACTACATATCACTTTGTGAAGAAGTGTATATATTCACCCCGATTCAACACAACTCACAAACGAGAGACTTTCAATCTCATATTTCGAATTTTAGAGACACAAACGATGGACATTCTTTGAACCTTGTCCGGTGTGTGGCTCTGTTGGTGATTTGATGTGTATCGGTTTTGAGAAGTGAAATTATATATTGAGTGCGCTGCTGCTGAATGGGATCCTCTGGCGATGGTCCACACTGAGTAATCACTTTTGGCGAAGGGAAAAGATGTAGATAAGAGTGTAATCTCTCTCTTGAGGCGTTGGTCTCTCAGCACTCCATTCTCTCGTAGCCTCAGTGACTGACTGACGGACGGCAACTATTCGACGGTCGAAGGCGATCCGATAATAATTCTGTACGCTGTGTGTACTTTTGATGATGTGTTGTGTGTACAACATATAATATTCCCTGAGTGTTTTCCTCCCGAGCGTGTGAGAGCGACTGAGAAATGCGCGCCAAAGCGAAAGAGACGATCCAACACAAAACCATCGCGTGGAATACAATGGGAAGGAGAGATGATGAGAGGTGGATAGAAAGAGAGAAGGAAGGAAGAAGTTCGCTGAAAGAATTCTATAGAGAACACTGTGAAATTCTACGAGACAGAGAGAAAAGTGTAAGAGAAAAATGAGATGAAGTGCAATTTTTTTGTAGGATTTGTTACTCAGAGTGACTCTTTCGGGTGAGTATGGTAAATGTGAGAAAAATGCATCTTAAGTCAAAGAATGTCCAGAAATATTCATGTGTGTGTATTGCAAAGTTAAAACATGTTCTTTTTGCGGTATTGACAATTTTTAAAGCACAACTTTTCACATGCAACACACCAAAGAAAGAAATTGCAGTGAGTTTGTTGCTTTTTCTCCATGATTTCTATGCAATAGCTGATGAACCTTTGAATTTGCCCCGAGCAATAATAATAGTATTTACTGTTTTGTTGGTCAAGAGTGCAGTTTTTGCCTAGTGTGTTAATGATTTGTTATGGCAGTTTTTATATAATCAGTAAAATATTCCATTCTGTGGTAGTTTGTAACAATGGAAAAGTCAATTCCTCAAGTTAATCATGTCTTTTTCCAAGAACGTCTCTCTCTCTCTTTTGCAATTACCAAGAGTTGTACGGCTTGACTCATCCCATCTGTCTGCATTGTTGGCTATTGTGCGAAAGGGAAATTGGTCAAGTGGTGAGGAAAATGACCGGAACTAGAGAATTGCCCTTGAGGCTTTTTAATACCGTTCGAATCCTAGGCGAAGCTGAGCTTCATTTCATCCTTCGCTCTCGAGTCAGTGAGATGAAATACTTGGCATAGTTTGAGCCAACACGAATCATTGATTATTTTGCTGTGAGTTTGTGTGGCATCATGTGTAGAATTTCAATTTGTTTAATTCTGTTTGATGTTGAGGGAAAGAGTACATATATAGATTTTCTGCAAATTAGATATATTTTTTGATTATGAAGAGAGAAAAACGAATCGGTTATGGTGTGAATTTCAATGCAAATTAGCAGACAAACACGTTGTATTGAGAGGAGAGAGACATTGAGTTGATATTGTTCTACTCATTGACCTGTGACGCGTGGTTGTTTATTTAATAGTTCAATAACAGTGTTGTATTTCCATTCATGAATAAAACAGGGTGCAGAAATATATAATTCAGCAAGAAGAGAGGTGTTAAAATGCAGTGGAAACACACACTTGTGTGTGAAAATTCACAAATGCTGGAGAGCCAGAGCGTTGGCAATGCTGCACTTTTCGCATCATTGAGTCGTAATTATTTGAAATGTCGATTTTTGAGTGGCAAACTAAAGCTGTATGTTGTGTTGCAGAAAAAAAACTGCGGTGAAGAGAGGTGAAAAGACAGACAGAGACAGAAAACGTGGCATAAAAAGAAATGTTTGCCGGCCGGCTGGTGGTCGAAATGACGCGCCAAGAATCGTACGATTATTTTGGGGATCTTCCAAGAAAGTGGGAAAGAGACGGTGTGTGGCAGAGAAACCCAAGAAGCGTGTAATAAAGTGAAGGAAAAACAGCATAAAAGAGTGGAAGGTAGAGGAGGAATGAAGGAAAGACGAGTGATAGAGGAATGAATAAATGAATTTACCTGGCATTCAGCCAGTTCATAATAATTTATGTATTTCATTTTTCAGCACACATAATTCTCACTTTATGTCATACAATGGCAGAGATGCAAAATGCAAGTAAAAAAAAGTCTTGAAGATTGATCACATTTTTTGCAAATTTGCTGGATATTAAATTACCTATTGATATGTGTTCACAGAAATGAGATTAACAAGCTGTTATTAGCGTGAGTTTTTTTTGTGTGTGTGCAAAACTCCTTCCTCGCATATTAACGGCTTTTTGGCGGCAAACATTAAATGAAGGGAGAAAGAATTTTTCTCAACATTTGGCCAAAGTTTACCGGAATGATTTGTAAAATGAAATAAACGCTTTAATTCTTTATTTATTCTTCACATTGCCCCGACCTTTCTGGGCTCTGATGCAGAGTGTGGAAGACATAAATACCAGAAGGCAGTGGTTTGGGGAGGATGAAGGCATCTCTGAGTGTGTTACTTGAGTCGTCAATTCATAATTTTCATACGACTTGCATGTGGTTAATGTGGCGAAATCACACCGCAAACGAGGAGGTGTGCAAAGACGAGGGGTTAAGAGCCAAAAATGTTGGTGAAAGATTAGGGGACTCGTGAGTTATGGATTTGGCATTGCGGATCATCAATAAGCACAGTTCGATGTGATATTGAATCATGCAGCAAATAGCCATTTAATGGCATTGCAGTACAAAATTGGCTGCCAAGTTGTTGATCAATTTGAGAGTGTAAAAAATTCCAACTAATTCCTCCACTGAAAGCTTGCTTGAGTGAAACTTTTCGACTTTATCATTTCAAAAAGTTGCTAATACTTTTTGCAGAAGCACTCGAGAGGAGATGGGATAATTGTTGGAGTGTGTTTTGGGGAGTCAGTCTTGGGAAATTCATTGGAGTGTGGCTGGAAAGTTGAGTGTGATGGCTAAAGTGCACGCACAAACGCAGGGACGTCTGCATGGCGGAGATGTCTTGAGAACAAGGGGGAGGTGCTCTTTGATAGTCGTCCAACTTTCCGATGGAATTTATTGCAGCAGGAAATGTGAAACACTGAACAATATTTCTCATGGTCTCTTGTGGCGCGTCTCGGGGTATCAAAGGAAGTTTGGGCGGGTTGAAGGGATGCGTTGAGTTGTGTCTTGGCGTGGGGGTTGTTTTTGGCATAAACCACCATTTCACCCACTCCCCTCGCCCAGGTTTGTCTTCGCATCAGAGGATTTGGCGAGTCTTGAGAGGGGTTGAAGTGAGTCTCCGTTTCAACTTCACTCTCTTGAGTAATTCTTACACCCTGTGTTCATCAATGATGTTATACATTTAAAATTCTGTTTCGGATATTAATTTTCATGTCTCTTTTTTCGCAAGCCAAAGTGCCATTAAGTAACGATAATGGGGACGCACCGGAGGGTGAGGACTTGTCGTGTGATTGAAGGATGTCTGGGGCTGGAAATGATGATGGGAAGTGAAAGGGAAATTTGCACGATGTCGATGGACAAATGAAGAGAGAGAATGGATGGATGCACTTGTGTATGTGTGTTTTTCCCATGGGAAACAATTAAATGTATATGAAAAATCATCAACTGAATCCTCCAAATGGTGCGCGCCAGGAAGAAGAATGGACCCGACACTGGTGGGAGACAGAATCAGACACGGAATGGCATCACGAGAGATGGAGCAGGAGTGATAACAGATGAATAGAGTTTCCAGCTAATGGAAATCATATTGAAAAGGGCGAAATGGAGGGAGAGATGCTGCGGATGGGTGGCTAGAGAGTCCTAATGGAATTTCTGTCAGGAGAGCGAGAGAGGGAAAAAAATGAGATCATATCAACTGACGATTATTATCATTAGAATACAAGTGAAAGAGACAAGCGAGAGAATTTAATAAATTGCATCGAGAGTCTTTGCGCGAATCGTGGGCCAACGAATCATCACGGATGGGCTTTTTTTCTTTGGCATAATGAAATTTTTCACGCAACAACAGGAGAATTATGTTATTTAATTCAATTAAGGTGTTACTTTGCTCCCAATATCTCTCGGCTTATTTAATTATCCTTCCTAGTGAAGTGGCTCTCTAGGCGAGGTAATTAATCATATTTTTAAGGGGAATATATGTAGTTGAATGTTGAAGTGTTATTTTTAGAAGATCAGCGAGTGAGAAAACTGAAATCTTTCATTTAAGATAATAAATAGTTTGGTTGTTGCTTCGTGTGAAGTGTTTGCGGAATTCCGTGTGTACTTTTTAGTGCTTAAATTGTGGGAAAAGCGTGCTACAGAAAGATGTTTTAGTATAGAAAATTGATTTTTTCTCTGTCTTATTTGATGAATTGTAATCAATTGTTGTAGTCAAAAATTACTCAATTTACGTACAAAGATGAATTTACTTTGAAAATTGACTAAAAATCTTATGGCGAAAAGAATTTAGCCTTTTAATAATAATAACTTTAGCCAACAACATTGTAAGATGAGCGTCTTGTTCACGGGTTTTCATCAAATTCAGGGGGATTTTCCATTTAAATCGGCATGTTGCTCAGTGGAGTGAAAGAACAGCAAATTGGTAAATGTGTGCTTCATTCTGTGACGGAGAGAAATTTGCGTGGTGAAAAGAGGACCAAATGCTCAGCGAATAAGAATCAATTGAGGAGGGTGGAACATAAGACTTTTCCTCATTTCTCCCCTTCCTTTTAACGATGCTCAAGGATGCGCGCGGGGATTTGGCGCGGAAAGGGCAACGGAAAAATCGTGCCACACTTTTGACCAGAAGAGATTACATTTTCCTCACTTTTATGTGTGTGCGAATGAGTTCGGGTGGAACGATAAAAAAGGATTTCTTGATTGAGTGAGATTTGTTTAGAGATGATTTAATGGTTTGGAAGTTATGTCACACTTTTATGATTATATCTCCAGTTTTATGTTGCTCACTGTCAAGATCAATGCTTAACTTTATCGGGTGATTTCCTGAATGCGTGTGTTTTTTTTTCTGCCGGCAAATTGTGCTCAAAAGGAGGGTGTTAAATTGTACATTTCCCCAGTTGTGTCCAAGGGGAAGATAATATGCCTTAAATCTGTGCATCACTTTAGAATCCTTCTAAATATCTGACAATCTTCCTTCTTATTGACATTTCTATTTCGCGATAAGAAGATGTGCAGAGCCTCCAATGCATCCAGTTTCTCTTTATTGTGGAAGCTTTCTAGATCACAATATCGCTTGTTATCAATTGCTAAAGATCCAAAAATTGCTGATTCTGAGCCAAAATTGTTTTGAAAGTTTCCTAATTAAACATTTTCCAAGTTCAAATTAGTCTTTTTGAGGTTATGTTCGGACTCAACAAGATTTGCAGTATTTCTTGGCATCATATGCATGCAAATGCGGTCTCTCGGACTTAAGCATAAGAATTGTTACATTTCTGTTGAGCTGTACACCACTTCTGCTTGCATTTTCTCCTCCTTGGTTGTGCCCTTCCCAAAGACGCTCCAGACAATTTCTCCTCTTGCTCTGATGTGTTGCATTGTTATGCCAGTCTGGAGATAAGTTTGTTTGATGAGAGATAAATTAATTTTCATTGACAGACAATTCAAATCGATGCATCGACAAGATTCCGATTAATTCGTGAGAATGCATGCGCAAAATGGTTAATAAATGCTGCAATTGCCAATTGAAATTTCTCTCTCTATCTCGCATTTTGTTGGTCACACAGTGAATCAACTTTATCAGATTGATTAAGTTCCAATGCGTTTTTTTGCGGACCACTTTTTGTCGCGAATTCCCCAAGAAAAAGGCGGGGAGGAGGACAAAGTCCTCCCGCCAATTGAACAGTCCATGGTTGAGTAATCGCTGAAATCGTCATTCCAAAGGCTCACCAGCGAAAATACAGTCATTAATCTTTTACTGTTTTTGGTGTTGTAAATCGCGTGTTTCTGACGCCATGCGATCAAATTCCAATTGTTATATTGTTCCACATCCACCCTTGATAAGACACTTTCAAAGTTGTTCACCGACGAAATAACAAAAGTGCTGCTTGATTGATTAACATTTGAGGGGATAATTTATTAAATGTAGTATTTATTTCTTTAATCAGCTAAACTCGGAGAGACACTCAATTCAATTCTGCCTTCCTTCCTGAGTTTTCTCTCCTTCTTCTCTGGTGTTTTTGTGTGTCCTAATGTTTGGAGAGGATTTAGACACGAAGCCAATACATTGACGATCGAATGCGATTGTATTCTGGCAGATTCTCCACAGGACCAACAGCTGCAACCGCCGGACAGCGATCGTAGATATACTTCATGGCCACATCGCGAACATTCTGTGCATCGACACTCTGCAAAGAACAACAGAAAAAAAACAGCCTTCATTTAGTATTCATTCGAGTGAATTGCACTAAATTTCCCGTACATCAATGCGCTTCTCCAGTTCATGAAGGGGAATTCGTCGATTGTAGCACAGCAATTGCCGTCCAATGTCTTCACACACTGGCGTTGTGCCTGAAAAAGTGTCAATTGTCAGTCATTTCATCCTTGAACAATCCTCTGTTTTCTCTTACCGTCCAACTGCAGCAGCATGTTTGTCTTCAGGAGGTTCTTCGCCCTGTCCACTTCGCTGTCTGTGATCATCGTGCACAGCCTCATCCACTCGCTCTGGACATTGAACAGCATGTCATCGCACTGCAGCGGATCACACACAAAGTAGATGCCCCAGAGGCCGGTGTCCTTGTAGCAGGTGTTGAAGGACTGGAAGCTGTGGCAGAGACCCTCCTCGGCGCTGATACGTGCCAGATGGGAGGCGTTGTTCACGCCACCGCCCTGGGAGCGATCCCACGTGCCGATAAGAGTATTGGCCACCATCAGGGGTACATTGTCCTGATCGGTCCAGCCGCATCCCTCCACAGCGATGGCCACATGAGCCAGAGGAATCGAATCGTCTCGCACGCGCACCTCAGAACCTAATCAAGACGATGATAACTTATAAATATCTTTAAAACAAAAACCCTTCATTGCACTTATCTCACCAGTGAATCTGCATGGGTGCAGCTTGGGAATCTGCCCATCGTACGTGTTCTCCAGCTTTCCCAGCTCCTTCTGGGCCAAATTCACGAGATCCTCGTGACGAACACCGCCAGCGCCGGCCAGGACAACTCTGGCCGCCTTGTAGTGCGTGGCAATGTAGTCCTGCAGATCCTGTCGACCAATCGACTTGATGTTCTTCGTGGGACCCAAGATGGTGTTGCCCAGCGGAGTGCCCTGGAACGCAGTGGCGTGCAGATGATCGAACACCACTTCCTGCAAATTGCTCTCCACTTCTTGCATCTCCCGCAGAATCACACCGCGCTCGCGCTCAATCTCGCTCTCGCCCAGCTTCGAGTTCTGGATGATGTCAGCGAGGATCTCAACAGCCTTCGGCACATCCTTGGACAGGCATTTGGCGTAGAAGACGGTCTGCTCGCGAGACGTGTAGGCATTCAAGTGGGCGCCCAGGTTCTCAACCTCAAGCTCCAGGTCGGTCTGGGAGCGCTTGGAGGTGCCCTTGAAGGCCATGTGCTCCAAGAAGTGGGCCACGCCGTTGTTGCTGTCGCTCTCGTAGCGAGATCCAGCGTCAATCCAGAGACCGATTGTGGCAGTCGGAGCTCCAGAGTCCTCGGTGGCCACGCGCAGGCCATTGTCGATCGTCGTGACGTTCGTGGCGGGAAGATTGACCAGAGCAGCGTGCAGATTCGATGCCGAGGTGGCGCGTCCTCGCCGGAACTGTAAGAAAATTGAGAAAACTCTTGTTCAACATAACCTCAAACACAACTGCAAGACTTTGTCCTCAATTCAAACACTTCCTGAGGAATATTTCTTGCAGGAAATAAAAGCTCCTTGTTACTTTAATAGCATGAATTGGGATCGAATGTCTTTTCTCGTAATTTAACGTGTTTTTCACAATTTTCCTGGCCATTACGTAATGGAAGAAAAGTGGAGTGTTTTGCCTGGATTTCAAGGCATTCCTGCACCACTTGGAGTCTTACCTGCAGCAGCTGAGGACACTGCTGTGTAGCGCGGATCACATTGGACAACCTGAGCAATCGTGATGCCATTTTTGGGGCGCTATTTTACGGAAAAACTCTATCGATGTGTCTCGAGTTTTTGTGAGGACTGACAGGTCGATCTGGCGTGAAGTGTGTCGCGAATCACGTGAAAATCGATATATTTGGCGGTCGCGCGATATTTTTGCTTCGGCTCAGTCCTCGCAATTCGATTTTTAGGAGTGTTTAGGAGACATCCGGCGATATTGCGTGTTTTGCTCGGTTTCTATTGTTAATTTCGCCACTAAATCATGTCCAGCACGTTTTATTCGAATGACGCCACTCTCGAGGAGGACGCAGAGACCACATCGCTCACGCAGGACTACCTGCCAACGCTGGAGGAGACGTGGAGTGAGCAGGAGCTGCAGAGATGCAAGAAATGGATTGTGGATAGTGGCTTCAAGAGGATTAGCTTGCAGTTTCCTGACTCACTTCTGCAGCACAGTGTGACCATTTATGGGCAGCTGAATGGGGAGATTGAGGCGGAGTTCTTCATCCTGGGCGACACGAGCTACGGCAGCTGTTGTGTGGACGAAGTGGCGGCTTCTCATGTGGACTCAGACGCTCTGATTCACTTTGGCCAGGCGTGTCTCAGCCGGAATACGAGACTCCCTGTTCTGTATGTCTTCCTGCACTTCTGCGTCAAGTGGGAAGACTACCAGGAAAAGATAATGAACACTTTTCCCTGTGGAGATGAGAAAGTGATAATCTTTCCGGACACTGCCTTCTATCACGCCAAGGAGGAGCTTTTGCAGCAACTGGCGGAGAGGACAAATGTCAGAGTCGCCTCTCTGGCTGTTGACGATAGCGTGAAGGCAAACTACTTATGTTGGCATGTCCAGGATTTGGAGAGTATCGACATAACGCAGTGGAATTGCCTGTTCATTGGCGAGGATGATCAGACTTTCTTCAATCTCTCCCTGGCAATTCCCGCCGCCAAGTGGTTCATCTACGATCCCAAGCGGGAGACGCTCTGCCCAGCGACGCCCAGGACATCCTCGTGGTTCCGTCGACGATACTACTACGTGGAAGTGTGCAAGGACGCCCAGATGATTGGGATTGTCATGGGAACACTCACGTCTTCGGGTTACCTGGACATTGCCAAACGGATTCAGACGCTGGCCAAGGAGCGCGGCTTGAGGAGCATCCTGATCTCTGTGGGCAAGATAAATCCAGCCAAGCTGGCCAATTTCTCCGATGTCGACTGTTTCGTGCTGATCGGATGTCCGCAGAACAACGTCTTTAACTCCAGGGACTTCTACAAGCCAATCCTCACGACATTCGAGGTCGAACTGGCGCTGAATCCTGCCTGGAAGGACACCATTCCGGACACTTATTGCGTGGACTTTCAGGAATTGCTGCCCAATGGGAAATTTCACAGAGAACACGATCCGGAGGAGAATCTCGAGAGTGACGTGAGTCTCATCACTGGTCGTGTTCGTGAGCGCAATCAGCGGCCAAATGGGGCGCCGGCGGAGGCTGAATCGGCGCTTCTGGAGCGAGAAAGTGGCGCTCTTGTCAGCAATCGAGTGACTGAAGCGTTCCGGGAGCGCTCGTGGCGCGGTCTGGATCCGGCCTTGGGACAGGACGAGCCGGCGCGCATTGTCGAGGGACGTTCCGGCATTCCGGTGGCCTATGAGGAGCACAAGGACGAGAGGAAGTGAATTTGCGCATTAAATTTATTCGCCAAATGATCATTTCACCAATTTCTTCACGTAACAATTTGCTGTGGCATTTTCGTGAGGCGCTGGCGGCCTTAATTCCACTTCTCCTTGCCAATCTCGGTAGGCCTGGGTGTGCACGAGTGTCATTCCAAGCTTCTCTGCGATTCGGGCGGAGAAGATGCTCGTGCAGACCGCTCCAATGGCTCCAAATCCCTTCTCCAGGGCATTTTCAGAGGCTTTCTGCATCAGCTTCTGTCCAATGGACTTCCCGCGGTGGCCGGAATGGACGGAAAGGACGCTGAATTGAACGCCTTTCGGGACATCGAGCCGACGACAGATGGCTGAGTGCTCTTCCAGGTCATGCAAGAAGGTGAGAATTGCGCGCCACTTGCAGTCTGTGATTTGGGATGTCTGGATCTTGCGCTCTGGCAAGGTGGAGTTGTCCACCTCGTGGCACAGAAGCACGCCAACGAAGTCCCCACTGGAATTCTCAGCCACAATACTCAATCCGGTGGGAATGCACGATAAGGAGAACTCCTCGTCAGCTTTCGTGGGTTCTTTGGGTGCAATTGAGAGCGTCAAGAGTTCTTCTGGATAGTAAAACTCCCGGATAAACTTCAGCACTTCTTCCTCGTCTTTCGTGAGGGCAACGCGGAAGGTGAATTCAGTCATTCCGAACTTCTTCACATCTGCAATATAACTGATCGCTTTGGGAAACTTCCACGAACATATAATCATAAATCCTCTTCTAAAAATACATTTTGGGCTCTTGACTTTACGCACACTTACGCAAAAACCGCTAGAGAATAGTTTTTCGAATAGTTCTTTTTCGTTATCTTCGGTATTGTGTGAAATTAAGACTTGATAAGATTGCTGCTTCTCGGATATTTAATACAAAGTTCAGACTTTGCACAGAACGATCATTTCTCATAAGTTGCGCCATTTTTCCTCCTGGAACAAGATTTCGGAGATCTTTTGCTTCATGAGGAATGTTCTTGCTCGCTCGGAGGATTCCTCTTTGTCTTTGGCACACGGTTCAGCCTGGTGTCAATTTGGATCTCAATATTCTCCTGAAAATCTTGAAACTGAGGAAAAATAGAAGGAATTCGAATAAACTATCAGAAGGAGGGATTCGCAAATTTCCGATATTAATCGATTATCGCGACCCGAAATCGGCGCCACGGAACTGATTTTACAAATACAAGATTTATAGGAAGATACCCAGCTCTTACGCTAATCTGCTCCTCCTTTAGGTATCGAGTCTTATCAGTCTTATCGTCGATGTCAATTTTCAATAGAAATTGGCCTTATTTCCAGGGTATTAAAGTGGTTCCTGGCGATGACTGTTCTTTCTCATATTTTACGAAATAAATCGCACTTTGCCGTCTTCTCATCAATCTTTGTGAGGAAGACAGTAAAGGTTGAAAGTTTTCCCATCATTTTCGTGGAGATTTAGAAAAAAGGGGGTTTTTTACAGGAAAAAATAACCGTTTGGATTTGGATCTTAAAAATCAGCTGTTTTTTGATACCTTCAAAGCCTTCAAATGCGTGACGTCAGTGAAAATTGTAAACAAAACGAGGTTTTGCAGTCAATTCTTCGTCACGCGTTTCCAGTGAGTATTTCGCAACAAAATGAAGAAGAACCAGCGAAAGATGACCAAGGAGTTCCGGAAGATGAAGGTTCGCTGCCCGGACAAGCAAAGCAAGGCGGAAAACTCTGCCGAAACTGCATCAGAACTGCACGAGGATTCGGACGAATCTTCCGCTGGTTCTGGCAGTGATTCGACATCCGAGAGTTCAGGTGGGGAGGATTTGGGCTCTCCGCCCACCTTCAAAGTGGCCATGTGGGATCTCAACCACTGCGATCCGCGGAAGTGTTCCGGACGGAAGCTCGCCAGGCACAGGCTGATCCGGAATCTCAAGCTTGGCCAGAGGTTTGTGTCTTCATTGAGAATGTCTTTTCCACTTGAGCTGCGCTAATGTGAGTTTCTTAGATTTCCCGGACTCGTTCTCACGCCCATGGGCACGAAAACTGTGAGTCCCGAGGATCGTGAAATTGTGCAGAACGCCGGAATCGCCGTTGTCGACTGTTCCTGGGCGAAACTCGATCAGACGCCCTTCGGCAAGATGAAGTCTCCCCATCCGCGCCTGCTGCCCTTCTTCGTGGCTGCGAATCCCATCAATTACGGGAAGCCCTGCCAGCTGAGCTGCGTCGAAGCCATCGCGGCCACGATGTTCATCACGGGATTCAAGGCGGAAGCCAACTGGTACTTGAGCAAATTCAGCTGGGGACACTCCTTCGTCTCCCTGAACGCCGAGCTGCTGGAGAAGTACGAGAAGTGCACGACGGCGGCGGAAATCGTGGCCGCCCAGAATGATTATCTGGAGAATGCGCAGAAAGAACAGGCACAGAAGGCGCCGGATTGGCCAGTTGTGGCATCTTCGGATTCAGAGGAGTGAAAGTGTGTCTTGTTTGCTTGTTTTTACACCCAAATATACACAATTATTGTGGAAATCGCGGCTTTTTCTCCTTGGCTAAATGTGAGGTTAGGACGTTTTGTTTTGTTTTTGATCAGGAGGAAAATCCCTGGGCGTGGGAATTTCGCCTTTTCCTGGGCTTTTCACACTGAAAATGTCTGGCAACGAACAATCCAACACTTTTTCTAGTCAGCTCAGTGATGAAAGAGTTCGAGATAATCTCATGTGGGCGGTAAATCGGCATTTTTCCAGTCAATCCCGACAATCTCTAACCTCACTCTTCTTCCAGAGTCGTCCCTGCTTCCTCTATAAGCACGAATTCAAGGATTGCAAGAGCTACAAGGCCAGATTCAATCAGTACTTCATCTACGGAGAGTCCATAGATTGCTCACAGTGGGGAAAGGATTACGAGGATTGCCTGAAGTATGAGGAGCATGATGATTTGGCTGCTGCGCGGCGACTTCTGGACAGCGAGGCTGAGCGGAGGCAGAAGAGGATGGAGGCTCACAAAGCCAATGACGTGTGGAAGAAGAGATCAACTCCGCCAACGGAATGGAACGCTCCACTGCCAGAATGGTTCACGAAGACCAACGAGAACACATTTCTCGCCCTGAAATCCAAGGAATTGCAGGATGGCGTCGAGATGCCGGCGAAAGAAAGCTCCTTCTGCTCTATAATGTAGCCGGGAATTGACAAAGACAGCTTCTAGTGTAACTTCAATGAGGGAATTTAGTGAAAAAGTCGAGAAAATGCAGGAATTTAAGCGTCTTTCTGGATCGACACCAGAGTCTTTCCCGGCCGCTTCGCCTTTGTCGCCCGCTTGCGCGGACTCGCGTCCTGGGAATCAGCGATGCACTCGTCGTCGCTGGCGGGCTTGGGCGTGGAAACTATCGCTCTGGGACTCTTCCGCGTGGCGACAGACTTCGGCTTGCGCTGCACATTCACCACAACGTCCGCATCCAGGCTGATGTCCAGCTCCAGATTCACCTTGTACAGCTTCTTCGTCTTCCCCGTGGTCTTGGTGACTTCCGTCTTGGCTTTCGCAGTTTCAATTTTCTTCCTGGGCGACGGCGAAGGCGCAACAGCCGGACTTTTCTCCCTCTTCACGCGCGGCTTTCTCTCCGGCGAGACGGAATCTGAGTCTCTGGGACGCTTGGGAGATCTCTTGGCGGCATTGATGGCCTCCTTCTTGGCCTTCTTCAGCGGCAGCGACACAGCGGCAAACTCCAAGTCGCCCGAATTCGTCTTTCCCAGCGTCTTCAGCGCCTTCGCGAACATCTGCCGGCACTCGTCATAATCCGGCTCCTCGTCGTGCTTCAGATCTCGCACGTGCTGCAGGAACTCCTCGAGAGGACGCGGATAATCGCCCGCGAAGAGATCCTTGAGTGACTTTCGCACATCCTTCATGAACTTCTCCTTCGCTTCCTGCACTTTTGTCGGCACTTTGAGCGTCTCCGGCGCCTCCCAGGGCAACTTCGAGGCGCACCACTGCACGAGGTTGTAGCCCAGAATCTCCAGGTCGCCGCGCCTGGTCTGGACGCCCAGATGCGCGTCCCGCGACGTGTATTCAATCGTGCCGTTGTGCATCTGCTTCGGGTCCGGCTTGAAGTCCTTCGTGGTGAAGTGCGTGGCCAGACCGAAGTCCACCAGGTACGCCTGGGCGCCGCCGCCCTTGCCGAAGCCCAGCAGGATGTTGGCGCCCTTGAGATCGCCGTGAATGTACGTTGCCTCGTGAATGTACTCCAGAACGTCAATCTGCAGGGGAAGAACGACTGTTTGGTTAGCATTTCTGACGCTTTCCGGGCTCTCGACTCACCATCTGGATGGCCAGCCGGTAGACGGTGTGCAGCGGAATCTGGCGGCCGTTGTTGATGAAGATCTTCCAAATATCACTGCCGTAGCGCGGCATCACGACGAATCTGTGCTTCTCGCCCTGCAACTCGTGCGATCCTCTGCCCAGGAGATACGGCATGCCGAGATTCTTCAGCTTCCTGGCCTTCTTGAACGCCTCAACTGGAAGACAAGTCTGGTCAGTCACCCCGCCACGCGTGAGCCCCACAATTCCCACTCACTGTCGGCAGTCTTGGTGTTCCGGATGTAGAAGTGCATCTCGACGAACAGCGGCCCATTTGCGTACGGCTCAATCTTCAGCACGCTCTGGTAGTCGTCGGTGCTGCGGGGCGCCTTCTCTGCCTCGCAGCAGGAGTAGATGTCCCCGAAGCCGCCGCTGCCGATCGCCGGGCCGACGAGCCAATCCTTCTTCTCCAGATCGCGCAGCACGCTGCCCAGCGTCAGCTTCACCGACTTGCTGTAGCCGTTGGCCTTCTTCCGGGGCCGCGCCGGAGCCTTCGCTTTCCCCTTCGATGCCATTTGCCGGAGCGTCCGTGAAGAACCCTTCGTTATTTCGCGCACTTCCCTGAACAGCCAAACACTGCTGCCAACCATGCAAACCCAGCAGCGCCAAAGGGCGAAATGTCGCCAGACGAGCGACGGAAAGGTCCGAGGGTGTCTTTGGAGGAGTGGAAAATGGCTTTATTACAGGATTTAAGTATATTTTCCGCACTTCTTCTTTTGTCCTTGAATGAATAGATTGAAATACCCGAAATTCTTGCTTTGCAAACGCGATTTTCACTTCGATTCAGCTTCATTTTTTCTCAGTACATCTGCAGACTAATTCCAATCCCAGCCACTCGTGGCGCTGCACGAGCCAAGATTGCAGAAAATAAACAATGATATTTTTTTCATGCTAAAACAAGTGCATTTCTGCGAAAATCACTTATAAACGCTAGTATAATATTCCTCCTCGAGGTCATAGAGATCAGCCGCCATGTCGTCTCGCAGGTTCATCAGCTTCTTGTCGCAATCCGCTTGTGTGGAGCGATAGAATTGGGAATTTGTGGTGATCGCCTCGTTGACTGAGTGGAAATCATTGAGAATCAAATACTGCTTAATGTCCGAGACCAATTTCATGAGACTCTCGCCCGCGCGCACTGAAACAGAGCCAAAAACACAGAGAGAAATGAGTCATTTCGATCATGATGCAATTTTCTCTGTTAATCACCGATATTTGCCGCCCGGACTTGCATCTCATATGTGTCCTGCTCGCATTGGGTGATCTTCGAGAGTTGACTATCATTTTCACCCTTGGCAAGCTTCAGTATCTCTGCAAAATTATTGACTTTAGTGTGTTTTGAGCGTGTTTGTTTACATTTTCGCCACGCGCCAACCTTCAAAGTTCTCCTGCATGCTCTTCACGTCATCCTTCAGGCGCGTGTTGTAGGACTTCAGCAGGGCCTCCTTGGAGTTCGGCAGGTTGCGCTGCGTGCCCATGACCCCAAATGTGCCCAGAGTGATGCAACAGCGGTGAGAATTTCAGGGCCGGAGAAGCGATGTTGTGTGAACTTTCACAATTTCACCCAAATGTGACGCGATATATCGGTGAATGTCAGTGTAGTTCCAGACACACACCCATGTGGCGCTGTGTCGGCCAAACTCGCGTGGACCAATCAAATGCACACAACAATTCTGACGTCGACCAATGAAATAAATCCACGCTTTGATATCAGCGCCTCAAATTGAGGTGCGAACAGTAGAGGAACGTTAGTTTTTCAGTGAACATTGCGAAGAGTGGAAGGAATTTGTTGCAATTATTTGCCAGTTTCGGTGTGAATTCTGTGAATTTCCTGTGCAAACGCTGTGCGTTGGAGCTCTTGGACATCCCCTTGTGGATTAATTGTGGTGAAATTGTTGGAAATCCGCTGATTATTCGCTTGAAAAGCGAGGTAAGTTTTTTGGGGTGTTGCAATGTGGCCGGCATTCTTGGGTTTTCCCATGAAAACGCGGTTTTTGCACAAAATACGCCTCTTCCCGGCTGGGAGGGTGCTTCTGGGGTGTCTTGGGGGGCCAATGGGGTGTGCTGTGTGGGTGGAAAGGGGGTTATTTGCAGGCAGAGTGATGAGAACGTTCCAGACTACGTCATCAAAAAGTAATGAAAAAAATGAGGCCAACGTGTCGCATTGAGAGTGCAAAATTCCTCGAAATTTCCAAGAATTCCGAAGATTGTTGCAAAGTTCTCAGAATTCATTCACAATTCTCCATTTTGCGGGGTTGAATCGGTGCATTTGGGTGGCAAGAAAGCCACAGAAAGTGGCAAATTCTCGTGATTTTCCCTCCGCGAAGTGACTGGAAAGTGGCTGGAAAGCGCGGGCAGGTGGTCAGAGGAGGCTCTGGAATGCGCGCGAGAGCCAGGAAGCGCAAGGCATAACGGTGAAATTAACCGCTTCGTCATCAGAATTGCTCGTCACGTCTCGTGACCTATTTTTGCACTCCACTGACTTTTCCCCCCTCTTTTCCCGCCCTTCCAGGCTGTGCAGCAGAAGAAGAGCTGAAGATGAGAATACTGCGATTGCTGGCCGTGGTGGCCTTCGTCGGCCTGGCGCTGGCGGAGGACAAGAAGGAGAAGGACAAGGACATCGGAACCGTCGTGGGCATTGACTTGGGCACAACTTATTCATGGTGAGTTTTCCAGCCTCTTTTCCTTCATCTCTTGTGTGTGTGTGTGTTTTTGTCCATAGAACGACTAGAACTGCCAATGCGCTGCCAAAGCGTGGCCGTCTCAAGATTGGACTACATTGAAGGCGTATTTCTATTTCATGGCGACTCTTTTGCATTGCGTTGAATTGTCGTAAATTTTAAGGAAATACACAAAACGCCCACGATTTTTACACTAAAGTGATTCGATTTTTCGGGTGTAAATTTGACAGGTGTTTTTTCCACGCCTACCAAGATTTTCCCGCGATCTTGACGTGGAAAATTGACAACATAACCTCTAAAGTGAGAGTTTTTGCCTTTTCAGGGGTGAAATGTGGAAAATACTCGAAATTTGAGGGTGAAATTGTGTTAAATTATTGAAAAATTGATCAAATTGTCAAATTTTCAATTGATTTCCTTCATTATTTATTGAAATTATGACTATAATATTGCTTAATTAATAGAAACATTAAAAATTTGATTTCTAAAAGGCGATTTGAGAACATTTTATGTTGATTTTTTGATAGAATTTTAATTAAGACACAATTCTTAATATTTTTTCATACTTTGGGACACTTTAGTGGAAAGTCGTTGCGGAAAATTGTCTGTTTTGCTCGTTTTGCTGGTGAAAGAGATTTACTAATTGCGTCATTTCTCTCTCTCTCTCGCTCTAGTGTTGGCGTTTACAAGAACGGTCGCGTGGAGATCATTGCCAATGACCAGGGAAATCGCATCACGCCGTCTTATGTGGCTTTCACGGCCGAAGGTGAGCGTCTGATTGGCGATGCGGCCAAGAATCAGCTGACGACGAATCCCGAGAACACCGTGTTCGACGCCAAGCGTCTGATTGGGCGTGAGTGGAGTGACACGACGGTGCAGCACGACGTGAAGTTCTTCCCCTTCAAGGTGATCGAGAAGAACAGCAAGCCGCACATCCAGGTGGCCACGGGATCGGGCAGCAAGGTGTTCGCGCCGGAGGAGATCAGCGCCATGGTGTTGGGCAAGATGAAGGAGACGGCCGAGGCGTATCTGGGCAAGAAGGTCACGCACGCCGTGGTCACGGTGCCGGCGTACTTCAACGACGCTCAGCGCCAGGCGACGAAGGACGCCGGCGTGATTGCGGGGCTGAATGTGATGAGAATCATCAATGAACCCACGGCGGCGGCAATTGCTTATGGGCTGGACAAGAAGGATGGCGAGAAGAATGTGCTGGTGTTCGATTTGGGCGGCGGAACCTTCGATGTCTCCCTGCTGACCATCGACAATGGTGTGTTTGAAGTGGTGGCGACGAATGGCGACACGCATTTGGGTGGCGAAGACTTCGATCAGCGCGTCATGGATCACTTCATCAAGCTGTACAAGAAGAAGAAGGGCAAGGACATCCGCAAGGACAATCGTGCCGTGCAGAAGCTGCGTCGTGAGGTGGAGAAGGCGAAGCGCGCGCTGTCGGGAAGTCATCAAGTGAGGATTGAGATTGAGTCGTTCTTCGAGGGTGAAGATTTCTCTGAGACGCTGACGCGTGCGAAGTTCGAGGAGTTGAACATGGATTTGTTCAGATCGACAATGAAGCCAGTGCAGAAGGTGTTGGACGATTCGGACATGAGCAAGAAGGATGTGGATGAGATTGTGCTGGTCGGAGGATCGACGCGTATCCCGAAGGTGCAGCAGCTGGTGAAGGAGTACTTTGGTGGCAAGGAACCGTCGCGTGGCATTAATCCTGATGAGGCTGTGGCTTATGGCGCTGCCGTGCAGGCTGGCGTGCTGTCTGGTGAGCAAGACACCGATGCCATTGTCCTGCTGGACGTGAATCCACTCACGATGGGCATTGAGACTGTGGGCGGCGTGATGACGAAACTGATTCCGCGCAACACAGTGATTCCCACGAAGAAATCGCAGATCTTCTCCACGGCGTCCGATAATCAGCACACGGTGACGATTCAGGTGTACGAAGGTGAGCGTCCCATGACGAAGGACAATCACTTGCTGGGCAAATTCGATCTCACGGGCATTCCGCCGGCGCCGCGTGGCATTCCGCAGATTGAGGTGTCGTTTGAGATTGACGCCAACGGCATTCTGCAGGTCACGGCGGAGGACAAGGGCACGGGCAACTCGGAGAAGATTGTCATCACGAATGATCAGAATCGTCTGACGCCGGAGGACATTGAGAGGATGATCAAGGATGCGGAGAAGTTTGCCGATGAGGACAAGAAGCTGAAGGAGCGCGTTGAGGCGCGAAATGAGCTGGAAAGCTACGCGTACAGCTTGAAGAATCAGCTGGGCGACAAGGAGAAGCTGGGCGCCAAGGTGTCAGAGGAGGAGAAGAGCACGATGGAGGAGGCGATTGATGCCAAGATCAAGTGGCTGGAGGACAATCAGGATGCGGATTCGGAGGAGTTCCGCAAGCAGAAGAAGGAACTTGAGGATGTCGTGCAGCCAATCATTGCGAAACTCTATCAAGGACAGGGCGGCGTTCCGCCCACGGACGGCGGAGATGAGGATGATCTCAAGGATGAACTGTAGGCATAAAAAGTTTGTGTTATAAGGACATTAACAACTAATTTTTAGGGAGAGGAAAAGCTGAGTCGAAAATATGAGGAAAAAATAATTTATGAGATCCAAAAGTAGGAGAATTTCGCGGATTTAAATTGATCACAGCTATTATTTATTGTATAAAAACAGAATATCTCTTTAAAATTTTTAATTCACCGTCAAGTTCAGTGTTTTCACAGGAGTGTCCTGGATGAAGGACATCCAGAGGAAACATATGAGATACAATTTCCGTTGGTATTTTCTTTCAAACACACCTGAAGAAGAAGAAAAAAACAGATAGAAAAGGAGGAAATATAAGTTAATTGACTGATTGTGTGCGTGTGATTTATTAAGATTATGTAGCGAATGTATGAAGAGAATTTTATAAATAAAATAGTGAAAACTTAAATGGAGACTTTTTCCCCTGAAAACTGGAAACATGGCAAATGTCACAATCTCTGACTGGACAATTGAATGTCTTCGCGGCTGGAAGCTTTTGGCGGTGTTTCAAAAGACTTTCAGATATAATTAACTGGAACTCGGAAAGTGCAACTTTTGAAGTAAATTTCATAATATATGCAATGAAGAAAAAAAAATCAGTGGAAAATTGATGAATTTTTGTGTCATTAAAATTCCACCAGAGAAAATGTTCAACATTTCTTCAGTGGATAAGAGAGAATCCATGAGATTTAGCGAGTCACTTTGGTGACATCACAAGTTCTTCGGCGTGCGACAAGGGGGAGATATTGTGGTAGGAATTCTCCAATTGATTAATGAGGTTCAACATAACCTCAAAAATATTACTTCAGAAGCTTCAGAGTCAAGTTTTGAGTTCAAAAATCACTATTTCAGCCCATTTCGAGTCGATTATAGATGATTATATCCTTGTTTTTGCATATAAAAGGCTATGAAAGGGATCAATGAGGATTTCTATACCATTTTTTTGAGGTTATGTTCGGAAAAGAGACGACAAAGAATGATTTTAACCACTTTAACCTGATTTTTATGATGATTTAGCACTGAATTCAGTACAAACACTTCATAAATTACAATCTTCAGCTCATTTCGAGTAGAATTTCGTGGAATTTCTTATTTTTAAACCCAATTTTAGGGGGAAAAAGAGTTAAATAGACAGTCTAAGGACTATTTAGACCAGATCAGTCCTATTTTTCCCTTGAAATTGTGTTCAACAAAGGAAATTGAATGCAATTCTGGACGATTCAACGCGAATGAATGGATAACTCCATTAAAAAGGATCATTAAGGATATATTTCTATTGATTTATTTGAGGTTATGGCTGAAAAAACAACGGCAAAGAACGATTTTAACCTTATTCTCACGATAATTTAGGAATGAATTTCAATAAAGAGTTAATAAAGTGTTATAAATTTGTGGAAATGGAAGAATATTCCTGTCTTTGCCGTGTTATCTCCCCCTTGGCGTGTAATTGTGAAGGCAGGACACACACACAGGATGTTCGAGCTCACGCGCAATTCATGCAGTTTGTCCGGCTGTGGAAATTTGCTCCTTCTGCAGCTGAAAGACACACATTTTGCCACGCGAGCCGGAATATCAGATAATGAATAAATCGTGTGTCTCCTGAGGAGAAGGAAGCCGAAGGACGAAGTGCGTCATTCGCTGTGTCATCTTGGCCGATTCTCCTTGAGTGCCTCGCGGCGGTGAAATTTTCCAGAGGACCTTTTGAAAGCTCGCGCGTCGCGGCTTTAGTTTTTGGTGCGGAGAAAAAGTTTTTGGCGGTTCATCTCGACAAAGAGGAGAATTTATTTTCTCCTCTTTAAATTAGTCAATTCAATTAAAATTTGCCACCCTCAAGGATATGTCAAGGGAAAAGTTTGCGCAAAGTGAGCTTTTGTGCCACACTCACTTCCGCCTCCCTTTTTTCTCCCTTCTTCTTCTTCTTCACCATGTGGGAAAAGTATGTGTCGCCTATTTTTTTTGGGCGGGAGAATTTAATATTTTTCGTCTCTTTTTCCTTGGAAGAAAAATAATTTTGTCGTAAACAATTCAGTGAAAATATTTCGCCAAGTGGTGAGGAGGCGGAGAAGCGCACACACACAATGTGTAATATATAATATTGGAAAAGTTTTCAAATTACTGAAATTTTTGTACTTTTATAGGGTGAAGTACATATGTATATTTGGCACAAAAGACTCTCCCGACGAATGGAGATTGTGTGGCATTCGCTTTGGCATCGATTGCACTCGCTCTAAACGCTGCTTTCCAGTGAAAAATGCTTCTGAAGAACTGAGCAAAAGCTTCCCAAACTCACCTCACCGCACATTTCATTGCGCCCAAACGAGGAAAACCCAAAGCGTATCGCCGAGATTCAATGGACAATTGCAATTTTGAATTTCACCCATTTTTTTCGACCATCTCTTGAGGAAGTTTCCGCATTTTATGAGCTTTTATCCTTGGCTGAATGTGGAAAATGATGGATATTTTTCCAATTACGCTCAATGACTTTGTTTTGAGCAGTGCGGCTTCGCCAAACTTATGTTCTTACATCCAAGGGGGAGATATTGCAGTCAGAAGTGGTGTCTTAGGAAACGATTAAATTAACGTGATTCTTGATTCTTAAATTGGAAAAAAATCATACTAATTTTTTTCTAGGTTTTAAATCCTTTTTTGAGACAGATTTAATATTTAGAAAATAAATTTATGTTCAAAAATCAAAAAGACTGTTAGTTTTTGGCAGATTCAAGTGATTTCTAGGTAAATAAATCACTATTTTGGACCTTTTAAGTGAAAAAACAGTGAAAATTGTGCTTTAAAGTCTGACATAACCTCAAAAATGACATTTTTGACGAGATTTCGATCGTTTTTAACTTGAAATTGAAAGGTTTTCAACTATTTTGAGTTCATTGCAACTGATTTTGCCTTGGAAAAGTCCTCAACTGAGTTATTATTTTGAGGTTATGTTCGGATAAGAGAGATTTCGTGTGAATTTTCACATAATTAATTAATGATTAATGCACAAACAATCAGTTATCAGTCGTATTTGTTCTCCAAAATTGTATTTAAAAAGAAAATTGCATGCAATTCGTGTCGATAACTTACATTATTTTCCCCTTGACGAATACTTATACATTTGAGAACAATAATTCAGTTGAATTCATTTCTAAATGACAATTTCAATTCAACAGCAAAGAGATAAATTTTTAATTTAACACTTTCAGTGTCAATTGAGGAGGAAAAAAACGGAAATTCCTGATGATTCACATTGTGAATAGTTTATTCGATGAGCAATTTTATTGAGGAGGTGGGAAAAAATGGCAAACAAGCAGAAACTGGAGGGATGAAAGTTGCCACTTTTATAGAATCAACAATTAGTGATTTTGCTGCTGAGTTTCCGCATTTTCCCGGAGTGGAAAATGACGACACTCGCTCGCCTCGTCAACTCACAACTGGCGAGCTTTGCGGACGGAATGTGTACCATAATTCAATATCGGAATTAGTGATGCAACCCAGAAAGCACAAAACAATTTACATAATTGAAAAACTCCGGGTCACAATAATAAACTAATTAATTAAATTGTACACTCTCTCGTCCGAGGCTCGTCGCATTTTGGCTGATGCGACAGGAGTTAGTGAAGCCGAAGCCATGAAGTCCATGAGGTCCTTTCTCAGGCGCTCGTCGCAGGTTTTTGCACTTATCGTGGAGATTTTCTTCTTCCTCCTCGCGCGCCTCGTGGGAATTCTGCCCATCACGCTGGACGCGCAGGAGGGAAAAGTCCGCATGAGTGTCCTTCTGGTGCTGTACTCGCTGGCGCTCGCCGTTGTGATCACCATCACGGTGCCCGTGAGCATCGTGGTGCTGCTGCAGATGATGAATGTCTTCGACGACACCATGATGCTCGTCGTGTCCATCATCGAGTACTTCATGGCTTACGGCGTGGCCGTCGTGGTGCTCTTCACCAACATCTACATGGCGAGTCGCATGGCAAGAGTGGTGAACATCGGCTTTCCCATGTACAAGAGTCTGCCGCAGGTAAAGCTCTTCAATTCTTTCAGTTGAAAGCGACACAGTGATTGATGCGACGATTCAGACTCTAAATTGGATGTCAGACTAAAGGACTCGGCAAATAGACAGCATTTTGCTCTCTCAATTCCATGAAATTCAGCAACTATTCGTGTCCTTTTGACTCTTTCAATCGACTTACAACCTATTTCTCTGGGCTAAAGTGACATTTAAACGGCGCAAACGAGCAAGAACCAATGATAATTAGTGACTCAAGTGAGAAAGGAGAGCTTTTTTCCAAGGAGAACAAGGCAAAACAGGAAGAAATGCTTAATTAGCGGCAAATCCGGTCGTTCTAGAAGAAAAAAACTGAGCTAATTTGAGCAAATAAAGAATTTTTGTGCTCTTTTTAAAGGCTTAAATCCTTTAATTCAATCTTGTCGTTTCGATTTCAGAGTGAAAATACGACTTTCACAATTTGCGCTCAGTTCTTTGTGCTCAGTTCAACACGAAAGAAACTTACGTGGGAAAACGCACTAATTCTGGAGACAAGAAGTTAAATTTTGTCTGCATTTAGATGCTGAACTTCAATACGAACATTTGAATTGAGTTTCAAGAGATTTTTAATAATTTTTCTTGCTTGCTTTCTTTCGTTTTGAAGTTATTGACACTTACCGATGAGTTTAAATCAACAGTCTAAGGATCAATTAATCCTTATCAGTTCTATTTTTCCACTAAAATTGTGTGAAGAAGAAGAAATTGCGCCCAATTCGTGTCGATAAGTGTCGGTGAGTGTCGATAACTTCAATCACTTAAACGCAGTGGGATAATTCCTTAACAAAAATGGAGGATGATTGAAAATATCTCTTCAAATTTCACAGAATTCATTATTCAAATTGAATTTTTTGTGCTCTTAAACAATTTTATGAGATGCTGAGAAATTCTCATACAAATAATATAGATTGACAGTCATATATATTTGGAGATTTTGTACATATGATGTGCACATCAAAAAGCATTGTGGAAGGTTGGATAAGGTTTCCATGTATTACATTTCTTGTGCGGAATCGTTTGCAATTTTTTCTGATGACTCTGGGATGGATTTCACTTTGGGGAAAAGTCTCAAGCGTTCGCTGTGGCAGAATTTTAAGAGGGGATTTCTTAAATCCCCCCCCAGAAAAATACACCTTCAATCCCTTTAATTTGCCCAGGTTGCCGTGGAGAAATTGCGGCGTCGCTTCTACATTTACGTCTTGGTGATGACTTTTGCCGGAATCTCCTCGAGCGCCATGAATATTGCGCTGGTGAGCAAGAACAGCGACGCACTGTCCTTCTTCCTGCACGTCCTGTACTGCACAGCCATCCCCATCACGATCCTCACCACGTTCGTGAGTCTTTACTACGGCGGCATGCTGATGGTGATTGAGAAGTTCAAGCATCTCAATCGACGTCTCGTGGCCGTGATCGATCAGCTGGACGACGTGGTGGACATTTATGACGACAAGCGGCGCTCCTACAAGATCACAAAGTCCTGCGAGCTGTCGGACGCCTTGGATGCGCTGTCCATCGAGCACGACGAGATCTGTCGCTTCGCCGTGAAGTTCAACGAGCTGGGCTCGGTGCAGATGCTGGTGTTCATCCTGAACGCCTTCCTCAGCATTGTGTCGCAGGCTTTCTTCTCCTACGTCAACATCGTCATGTCCATGCGGCGGAATGAGTCCTTCCACGTGAACCTCATCGGCGGCATGGCTTACGCCATCGTGAATGCGGTGCTGCTCTTTGTCATCGTCAATGCCACTTCTGAGGCCATCAACAGGGCCAAAGCCACGGGCGTTCTGCTGCACAAAGTCGTCGCCGGCTGCCTAGACATCCGTCTCGAGCGCAGTGTAAGTGTTGCACAAGAGGCCAGAGCCCTAATCACCTTTCCACCCCCTTTTCCCACCCCCACAGATTGAGATCTTCTCCATTCAGCTGCTCAACCAGAGCCTCGACATCACGGCGTGCAAAATGTTTACCCTCAACTTTGGCCTTATTTACTCTGTTGTCGGCGCAGCGACGAGCTATTTGATCATCCTCGTGCAATTCGAAATGATGCGGCCGTCGAGAAATTAGTGCATTGTGTAAAATTGCACACTAATAACCAAATAGCTGCAAACACAGGATATTATTGATGTAATCAGCGTGTAATCAACGGAAAATAGACCACATGGTCGCATTTTTCCGCTGTCATAGTGAAGAATTTGCACGAAAAGCACTTCAATCTGCAAAATAAGCATTTTTTCTCACTCTCTGTCGCCATTATTGGCATTTCTTTATACATTCAAGGGGTTGCTAATGTCAATTTTGAATGCCACTGATTTGAAAGGGTGGAAAATGAGAGATTTCAGAGCGAAAAGAGGACATTTTGAATCAGTTGCAAAAGAAATTATATTCTGAACGACGGACAAATACTTGAAGAGAGAAATTAAAATTCGTGTTAAATACAGAAAATGGGAAGAGATTTTTTAAGAAAAATGTATTTTATCTTATTAAAATATTGAAATGAAAATTTTCCCAAATAAAATTGCAAAATATTCAATTATAAAGTGTTTTTGGTAAAATATTCAAATTATTTGATAATTTCTGCCACTTTTTGCCACCAGAGGGCAACAGTTGAGGCTTTAAAAGCACGTAGAAGTTCCGATTGTATTTTCAAAAGGCAAATTTAGGAGTTTGAGTTCATTTTCTGCCACTTTTTAAGTAATCTTCAACATTAGCAACCCTTTGGCCTACTCACACTCTGTTCGAGGCGATATTCCAGCATTTCTGCACGACAAGCGCTGAGAAGAGACAGAGTTTGGCGGATCTGCAATTGAGATATGAAGTTTTTGAGGTGAGAAATTCCATTATTTCCCATTATTAAAAGTTTAATGCACTTTTGCTGGAAAAGTCCCTGGAAAGTCGCAACTTGGAAAATTGTCAGTATCAGAGTTTCATCGATATAATATTGTTGCAATATTGTATTTACCTGCTTTTGGATCGCCATTGAAGCTTGAATGACAAAGAAAATTTGAAAGTAATGCAGAAGGACAAAGAGCAGCTCAAATGGAAGGACGGAGTCGGTGGTGTTCTCCGTCGCCAGGACCACGTAGACGAGGAAGAGCTCCACGATGATGGTCATGAAGCTTTGGGTGATGATTAGGAGGAGAGGCAGCGTGCAGAAGTCGTGGAGCTTTGCAATGAGACTCACAATCTCACCGAACAGAGTGGCTATTTCGTCAATTTCATCGCTCAAATGCAATTGATGCTGATGCTGATTGAATGAGAGTCTCGTGCGCCCTTCCCCGCGCTTGGGGGTGATTTTCCCCGTGACTTCCAACAAGTTCCCATTGAGTGACATCCAATAGGAGGCCAGGAGCAGCGAGGCGCCATAATATGCATTGGACAGGGTGGCGAGCAGCACAGAGGGAAAAAGTGCCACGAGGGTGTGGAGGAATGCAATTGGGGTGAGTTCACCGCCCAAGTGGTGGTGCACATTGAGCCACGTTGCAGCGAGCAGGGTGATCTCAAAGAGGACGCTCTTCAGCAGAAAGAGAGCCACTAAATTCCTCCGGAGTGGCGCACGGTGTTGATGATAATTGTCGGCCATGTCAGGGCGAATGGACGGCAATTTGCGGTACAATGTCACGGCGCCACGGAGGAATTTCGCAGTGTCCTCGCGACGACATCCCATTTGCATGATGGCAATCATCAGGAGTGCCACGTAGCCGCTGGCACACTGCGTCATCCAGCTGATGCTATTCAGGCCTGCGGTGGAGGGCGAGTCTGTGCCGTGACTCAGAAAGCTGCCGCTTAAAGCACACCAGCTAATCGGATACACAATGACGAGCAGCGGCAGCAGCAGCGCGGCGAAGAGGGACGACCACCGGCTGCCCTCTTCCACGGAGAAGGTCGCAAAGTTGACAGCGAACGGGGCCAGGCCGACGATCCTGGAGACCGCAAACAGCCCGCGAGCGCCGATATTGAAGAAAACCGCCGACCGCATCGCTCGCCCGCGTTTACGCAGAAAAACCCTGATTACTGAACCTCCGGACAGTCGCTGTCGCGCATTTAAGAGCCGCTGCAATCATTAATCTCCGCGCAAGGTGAGATATTACACCTGAAGTCTGTACAAAGCACTTCAGGCACTTCGAAAGTGTCACAAAGAGATATTTGAGCTTGTCTTTGAGAGTAAAGATGGCGTCAATCAAATGAAATACTGGATTTCAGCTGTTTTTTCTTTAGTTTCTGCCTTAAAATCCCTGTGAAAATGCTTTAAGTCAACAATAAAAGAGATTCTCAATAAATTGTGAGGTTATGAAATATCTTTGGGGCTTTTTCTAGTCTTCAAAAGGCCATAATGAGCTTAAAATAATTAAAACATATAGAAAGACATTCTTTAGCTTGCGGAAAAGATATTTTTGAGGTTATGTTTGACTTTATTGCTGTTGTTTATAGTTTTCCTCTAGAAAACTTGTCATAATCTCGTATTTTTAGCATAATAGGAATGTTTTTTCTTAGTAAAATGTGCGATGAAATGCAATTAAGAGCGCTAATGAAATATGGCAAATATTTCAACACTTTTGAGCACATTTTCTTCCCTTCGACGAGAGCGATAATTGAATATCTTAAAGATAAAAATATACGCAAATCTAACATTGCAAATATCCGAATCTTCCGAAGAATTGCCGGCCAATATGCTGAGTCTGAAATTAATAAAAATTCCCCATGGAAATGTTTATTGGGATTCCATTTGTCTACTCGTACACCATTCCTTGGCAAATTCCTCCTCCTTGTCTCCGCCGTCATTACACGAAATCGGCTGTTGATTTATGAATTTCCTCTGTTTCTCACATCAAATAAATTATTGAGCTCCGAAATCACGTTGTGAGTTTTCCTCCGGGGCGCGCGTGGGAAGGGTGCGTTTTTGGGGGGAGACACAGAATCACTAATGCATTTACGAGCGATTTATATTTTCCCAATAATAAATTCATTATTATGTACAAGAGCAACTCCCACGGATGGAATTTCATTTAATTGGGAAAATGGAAGTCAGTGAAATTACTTTGAAAATTCGCACATCAATTCTGATTGTATTTATCATGCGTAATTTTATTATAATTATATTAATTATATTGTCGCTCAAATTATCGGTGGTGGTTTTTTCTGTGGCTTCGGAAATGTCACTCGTATGGCATTTGTGGTGTATTAATTTGTATAATTGTCGTTGTCATCTGTTGGTCAATTATTCACGGCAAGTGATTAGATTGCCAGGACATTTCGAAAGAGAGCACAAATTACCATTTATTGATTTCATGCACTTTCACAAATTCTACAAACGGCATCGTTTTTATTTTAAAAACCCATTGAAATTTGTTGTTGTTGTTGAAATGATGGAATAAAAATAATGCAATTCGAGCTGAAACACAATTACATGGGAAGATTTTTCCTCCAATTTGTGTTTACAATGAAATCTGAAATGATATCAAATTGATCAAATATTTTAATTAATATGCATTTCAAAAGCATAACGTGCAACTGGGATTTTTGCATTCAAAAAAAAATACACCATTTCATAGAGCATCAGAAGTTTGTTTGTGCCATTGTAGTGAGTTCTGTAATTTTCGTGTGTAATTTATAAAATAAATTTGAATTTCCAATTAAAATTGTTTAATATGAAGCTTGGTGTGGATTTTTAAGCGAACGACCGGGGAATAGTAGACATATCAAAATGCTCAATGTTTAATGCAAAAATATACATTATTCACGTTCTGAATGAATGCATCAAATGTATTTCCTCCGCCCATCAACCCGGGTGCATTACATAATTTATTAATTTGTCAATTTGGACGAAATTTCCGCTTGAACGCACGCTGCGCGATGGAGACGCCTGGTCATTGGAGCTTTCATTACATATGTATGTTGTGTGGAAATTGCCTAGTTCAAGGGGCTTTCCGAGCGTTCAGAATTCATCAATTAGCACGAGACTCGCCGAAGGAATCACAGTTGCTGCGCTTGAGGCAGAAAGTCAGCCTTTAATTAAGCCAAGGGGAAAATAATGTGCTTTTCTGACAAATTTTCACAGTTTCTCTTTCTGATTTCAGACCGTGAAAAATGATTTAAATGTTTCTGGATTTGTATGAACAATTTCCGTCAAGAATTCTTTAAAAAATTCCGACTAAATTGTGAGGTTATGAATTTGGCTTAAAAATACTACAAATCTTAAGGTTTTCACTAAATATTTTGGCATAATTTGCCATTTTAAAGCATAAATCGCGGAAATAACTAAGCAAAGAAAATTTTTTTTGGATGTTTTTTAGATTATGTTTGACCAATCTAGAGTTTCTTCGAACGCAAATGCTCAATTTTTCCAAGAAAAAGATAAGTATTCCCAGTTTCAACACAAAATTGATGATTTTGAGGTTATTTTATCACCAGAATCTATTTAAAACCAATCACATAACCTAGAAAAAAACGATAAAATAGATTTTTCTGGGCAAAATAATCAAGAAAATAACTGAATTTATTGAAACGGAAGCTTTTGCGATACAAATATTCTATATATTTTACCATTTTCAATTTCAAACACTTCTTTTAAAAGCTGTACACCACTTCCGACCACAATATCTGCCCCTTGACAGTGAACTTTCTTCAACTCTGGAGACGATTCGCTCGGTGTAATGAATGTTAGCTTCACTGAAGCTCTCAAATGCACGCTTACACTTGTGAGACACTCTTGAGAAGCCGAAACCGCGGAGGATTTCTCGGATTACCGGGCGAAACTTTCCGCATATCAATAGACGCGGAGAAATATGTGGAGGAGTTGAGTGAGTGTATATAGTGAAAATTTTCGTGAAAACTCCTCTTAGTCTCGTGCTCTTCACACTCCCAATTTCCAAATTGTCATAATTCTTCGCTCACGCCGCGTCTTCAGTCTGAGCTTCCCATTGGAGCTGATCGCGTCGCGCGAATTTGCCTCGTGATGCAAACATTGCATGTAAATCCGGAGCATTGACTTGAGAATTGGGGAATTTGGGGGAAATTGCATTTTCCTAAGTTCAACACAAATAGTGACGGGTTAATTTTATGGTGACGTCACGCGTATAAATAATTAACTTAATTGATTGTTTCGCAAGTGAACATGTTCGCAGTGTGACGAGCTGTCGGACTGTGTTTGTGTGTGTGTGTTTGTGTTTGGTTGTGGGCGAGAGCAAAAGCACAAGCGACACGCTGACAATATAATAAAATGCATAAAGTTTTAGTTGCAAGTTGTAAAATTTTCCAGCACAATTTATTCAAATTTCGGGAGTTGGGCGAGAGAGCACAGCGTTATTATTGAAATTCTATATAGAATTTCGAGCACGACAAAAACCATATTTTAGGGTTTAAAAATAGAGTCGGAATGGGAAAACGTGGCGCTTTGTGCATATGTGTGGCGATCACACATGGCGGCGAGAGGAGTAAAGTGTGGCCAAAATATTGTTACAATCCAATTCAGCGACTCTTCTTCCTCTTGCACTGCAAACCCCAAAACTTCGCACTGTGTTCACCATATTGCATAATCCCGCGTCCACTGTCCATGCGAAAGAATACATGTGCGCCAAGGGGTTGCCAGCATCGCCATTTTGAGTGTTCTGCTCAAGATTTTGATCTTAGAACATGAAAAATTGGCTCGAAAAGGATGAACTCGAGAAATTCTATGCGGGATTTTGAGAAAGGGTGGAAAATTAGGGTGGAATAAATATATTTAAAGTATCAAAAAGTCTAATGATAGATTTCAGAGCGATAAGAGAATATTTTAGAACACTTTGGAGATCATTTGTAGAAGAAACGTGAGAAAAAATTTTAGACAGTTTTCCCTCTGGATTCCTGCAGGAAAGTCCATTATCATTAAGAGACTTTCTCTCATTATTCTAGATAATATTTTCAAAGGATTTTCATTCATTTTTCCTAGTTGAAGATTCCTCAAAGACGAAGAAGATGCAAAAACGACGGATTTTCAATGATTTTTCTACGGGAATCCTGCAGAATCGCCTTCAGCTTTTGTCTGACATTCCAAATGATGGATTCTGTCTTGAGACGTCTTTAAGAAATGATGTATTAAATAACAAATTTTCATCAGGAGTCTTAAATATTTTCATATGTGCAGAAATTATGAGGTTTTTCCCAGTTCCACACGCGTTTTTAACGTAAAACCTAGTCTAAAACCGTAAATATTCGATTAAAGATTGAATATTCAAGCAATTTGGTTTATTCATTGGCGTTTTCAAGCTTTTAAGTTGAGAAATTCGTCATCTACTGTCTCTAAATTAATCTTTTTAATCTTTTATTCACTATTAGCAGCCCCTTGATGTGGGCAAATGGGGGCTCTTGCTGGGGTGTCATTTTGGGGCGCAAAAGCGCCAAAAAAGCCGACACACACCAAAAAATCTCATGTGTGCACGACTAGGCAATTCTGTTAGTTGCTATTTTATCGATTTTCCCCATTGGAATCACCTCAGCTTCAGTGATTCAATGCAAAGGACCACAATAACGTGGGCGGCTGCGGAAGGGGCGTGCGAAGGGGTGGCGAGTGCAGTTGGGGAGGCGGAATTATCATAGTGCAATCTACCATGCACATGTATATAGTATTAACAAATTTAATGGCACGTTCGTTTTGGTGTTAAATTGCTGATGGAAATTTAATATTGCCTTGATACAACAAATTATTTCACTTGCAATAAAGAAAGCAACAGGTTGACGACGTTATTGCTGATTGCGAAGCCGTGTTGGCGCGCGTGTGGAAAAAGAAATCTAAATATATAGTGGTTGACTGGAAAATTCCTCTTAATTTAACGTTTACCACTCCGAAATTCTCTTCTCTCTCTCTCGTTTTAATGGTGGAAATTTGCTGTATTTCACCCACGCGCTGCTCAATTGAATAATGTCAACATTTGTTTAATTAGAATGTCATTAAGGTAGATTGACACAAAAATCCCCACGATTTCAATCATTTTCACTTGTCATTGTGCAAAAGCAATTAGCATAATAGAGAGACGAATTGCTATGTTTTCCTGTAGCCAAAGATCCATCTGTTACGCCTTGGCGACCCCGAAAGGAAGACATTCTAAGCCACATCATCACTTCTGCATCAATTGATTCGAAATATCCTCGTGTGTCAAGTTTACCTTCTGCAACACATTTTTTTTCTTTTCCCCCCCAATTTTCCGCCTTCGCCCATCAGCCCAACTTTGACTCCTCGTGTGACTTCCCACTTCTTATCTCTCGGTACCCTTCGTCTTTTGTAGCGAAGAAACGGATTATGGAGAGAAGAAATGCGATTTGAAGTAAGACAGGCGTAGAGTCACATTCTATTTGGCAACTCTGCTAATACAATTAAAGAGACGGCCTTTCTCACGAGCTTTCTCATCATTCACACGCCGAAGAGCTTTGCTTCATGACTTAAACATGTGGCATCGCAAGACATTTCGGGGGTGGTTAGAAATTTAGCCCGGTTTTTGACACGATTTTGATAAGACTTTCATGAGTTGTTTTAAACTGAAAATGAATTTATCAGGAGATATTTTTAGTCGGAAGTGATTTTTGCCTTCAAAAACATAATTTTATGTGCATAATTATGGAAATTTAGGTTAAATTGCAGTTTTGAAGTCGAACATAACCTCAAAAATCTCAATTCGGATCTAAAGAATGTGTTTTTCATGAGTTTTCCTGACATTTTATGATTTTAATGACTAAATTTATGTTCTTCACCAAGGAGTAAATAATTAACAATCGGTTAGTTTGCTATTTTAAGGAATTGGACAAGTTTGTTTTGATACATAACCTCACAAATGATCGAAAAATCTGATTCTTTATAGTTTATTCAGTTTACGGTCTGTTTTCAATAAATTTAGCTAAATTAAATCGAGAAGAAGGTTCAGAAGTGCCAGAATGACACCAAATTGTGATTAAATAACGATTTTAGATCTCACACTTCTTGCAATTTCCATCACGACTGATTATAGTGGGAAAGAAGTGCGGCGTAAGAGGAAAATAGGTCATGTTTATGAAGCTCGACTGAATTTAAAAGGGCGTGAGAGAGGAAAATGCCTGTAATCCCGCATCTCAGATTTATTAAAATCTATATGCGTATAAAGAAATGGGAGGTCGGAAGCTCATAATTTATGAAGATCAAAAAATCGATGGATTATTATGTGCGGCCGCTTGACGCAACGTGGGGCGCCACTGTCGGCTATATATATATATATCGTCAAATGCTTGTGCCTCTGCTCTCGCCTGTGGTATTGAGAAATACACCGTGGTTGACATGATGAGTGATACATTATGTTTTCGGGGCACTTTCTTTCCACTCTTTTTTTCCTTCCATTCACAATTTCAAGCATCGGGAGCTTAAAGCCATGCGAGAGGTTGTCGTAATGTCCCTTTTTTTCCTGGAAGTTCGGGGGTTTGGCTGAAGGGTTTGTAACTTTTCCTTATGATACCATTTTTCGGTGAATCAGACGCGGTGTGGGAAAAGGTGGACATACATTTTTTGCTCTTTGTCATTCGCCTCGGAGCTTCGCAGGCCATTGTCACTCTATTATTTTTTCAACTCATCGTGATCATAGCAATTGAGGACTCTCGACCGTCCCGCCGGCAGTTCGGTGAATGTGACGTAATTGAGTGTAATACGGGAAATTGGATGGATTAATAAAAAGGCAGTTTCGCACAGGAGAAGGAGAGAAGGGTGAAAAGGAGTGAAAATGTCTCAGCGACGCGGCCAATCGATTCCGCCCTATGTGTACGAAGGCCATTCGCCGAACGAGAGGAATCGCTGCACGGCCGCTCTGTGCATGTCCTGGAAGTTCTTCACATGCCTCCTGTCCCACATAACGCTTGTAAGTCGCGCCTTCAATCACTTATCCGGCTGGGATTTGCATTACAGCTACAATTTGTGATCGCGCGAGAGATAAAATTTCGCAAAATCAACTAAAATAGACTCAGGGAGGGTGAATATGACGAAAAAGAGAGGATCATTTTATCCTGTCCGTCCGTCCGTCGTTATAATCGTGACTGCAGTGCCTAAACGATAAGATATATCCAACTCCGCCATTTTGAAAAAGTAATTTTTCTCGTTTACTCAGACTCTTTGGATTAGATCGGTCATAATTTTTAATATGTTACAGTTGGTATTAAGACATTTCCAACGAAACCACACTTCAGGCGCTAAGTCTTCCTGGACCCTAGCTTTTAGGATTCAAAGTTTGAAATAAAAATTGACTATAATTCTGGTTCTAATTATCCGATTTAAATGGTTAAGATCGCATTTGAAAGATCTCGCTAAGAGCAATTTTTCACTTACACTTCATAATTTGATAGAACCACCGCTAGAGGCGCCAGAGTTAATAAAACGATTTTCAAAACTTTAAATTCGAATATCTTAGAAGAAAGCTTATGGATTTTCTTTAAATTGTAGTATGTTGTAGTTGAGGTCAAGACCTTTCCAATGAACTTTTTCTTATAAGGATTGATGTAATAGAACTGAAGTTATAGCGGTTTAAAGTTTCAATTTTGGATGAACTTTAATTTTGGTTGAAAAGGTCTTGCGAAACTCTACAACTATTTAGGACAATAGATGTTTATCATTGTGACATTTGATGTTGGCCACAAAAGAAAAGCTACAGCAAATCTCAGTTGAGCACAAGCAGACGCCAAGCGTGTGCTTTGCCATAGTTTTCAATGGATGAATAGTGGAAGGCGAAATGATTGCTCGCCATGTTTCCTGGTCTTCCTCTTTCAGGTGACTCTCGTTGTGTCTTATTGTATTCTGGGCGCGTTCACCTTTGAACATCTGGAGGCTGACAATGAAATTTCGGTGAGTGGCTCCCATTCTGTCTCTCAACCCCTCATCAGCGCCTTGAATATCAATAGACGAACAGATTTTCGTACACTCGCTCCTCCTCCTCGGGCGCCGCCGCCGCCTCTCGCCACCTGCTGCCGGCGGCAATGAAAAAAAATCACCCGCAGAACTATTTGCTCACGGGCGAATGTTTGTCAGCACGAATTCATCTTTTCGGGTGGGCGAGGGTGCTCATGTGTAATAGAGACGTTCGACGATGATGATGATAAATACTTGTTGAGAGGATTTATCAATAAACACTCTCCCAGCTCCGCACACGTCTATTTTCGAGCAATTTATTAAGTCTCTCTTTGTCTGTGGATGTTCATTTTCAGGTGAAACGAAGCATCGTCTACATTCGTGGCAATCTGACGGAGGATATCTGGAGAGCCACAACCGGAATTGCCGTGCTGCACCAGGAGAACTGGACCATGACAATGGAGTACAAATTGCTGGAGTTCGAGCGGGAACTCCTTGAAGCCATGAAGGCGAAAGGATGGGACGGCAACGAAGATGAAAAGCAAATGCAGTGGACGTTTGCAGGCGCTCTGTTCTACTCAATAATCGTTATTACGACAATTGGTCAGTGGAAGAGGCAAACTTTGTCAATTTCTCGCTTTGCAATTTCACAAGGCTTCAACCCAATAATGCACATCCTTCCATTTTGCCATTGGAAAATTCATACTTCACGCATTCCACGGTGATTTTGGTTTTCCAGTTTGAGTTATTATCTGATTAAATGCTGATTCTGGCTGGACTTAGTGGCAAAACATGCATAGAGCGATGTGTGGCTGACCGCTTTCCGTTTCACAATCGGATTTATGAACATTTGCATTCTTTTACTCCAATCATCTAAACGCAAATTTATTCTAATTTCGCGGTTTTACGCAACCACTGAAATATGTAGCTAAACTTCTTTCTAAATTGGATTATTTTTTGTTTATCAGCATGCATTAATTTTGAAAATTCGTGCCAAACTTTTGCTTCACTCGAAATTTATGGATTAATTCTCTGTAAAAACTGAGAAATGTTAAACTTCACACACTTCTGGGTTAAAATAATTATGGGGAGGTTTATGGGCGGTGGAAGAGAAGAGAAAGTGTTAATCAGAATACCATAAACTATTTAAAATTACATAACACATCTCTAACATTCCTCAATTTCAGTGGGAATTCATGAAATTCATATGTGTAGTATTAAATGATAGAGAAAAGCGTCAACTTTGGTCAAAATCCTGGTATATTTCGGCACATTTGTTGGTGAAACTTAACACATTGTACATGTTTGTTTTTGGTCGGCTGAAGAAGAATGATGAGATGAAATCACAGGCACTCAATCGACGGATTTTTTCTCCACCTTTCTCGTCTGCTCACTCGGAGCTCCGGAGCGGAAGTCGTCAAACGGCGGTCTATTATATGGCCCGAACCCACCAGGACCGCCAGGACCACCAGGTCCGAAGCCTCCAGGACCACCTGGGCCACCGGGACCGCCTGGACGCGCGCCAAAGGCGCCAAATCCGCCATTCGCGAGACCAGCGCCGGGTGGGAAGTAGCCTGGGGGTCCGCCTGGCCCACCAAAGCCACCAGGACCGCCGGGACCGCCGAAGCCACCGCCCGGGAAGCCTCCGAGGCCGAAGCCACCGCCACCGTAGCCGCCGGGGCGATTGTACGGCGGGGGACGGCCGATGATGCCAGTGGGGCCGCCTGGTCCCACGAGCACTCCGTTGGCGGGATTGCCTTTGTTGGGCCTGAAGAAGCCGCCCGGACCGCCGGGTCCGCCGGGGCCGTAGCCCCCGAAGCCGGGGCGTCCGGTGAGGCCAGTGCCGGCGCCGAAGCCGCCCGGGAATCGATTGGGGCCATCGATGCCCGTGCCGCCGTTAATCAGGCCATTGTAGTTGGGTGGGATTTGACCATTTGCCAGTCCGAAGCCATTGAAGCGCTGCCCCTGTTGATTTCTTTTGTGCATGGCAAGAGAAATGGACAATCTGAATTAGGGGTTGTGTTTTTCACTATCGCACTCCACACATCACGGGGGAAAACAATGTGATTGAGAGCTCTGATTCTTGCGAGAGGTGCTTTTGTGTGAAAAGTTTCCAGAATGTGTGGATGGACTTAAAGAGGTGCTATTCAATCAATGGCCAGCGGGGAAAGTATGTAATGCTGTCTGCCAGAGGGTGTGAATTGGGGTAGCTCATGTGTGAGGAGCACATAATGGGAAATGAGGAGTAAATTTGCCATTCATCAGAGTTACAATTGAGGGAGGCAAATATGCAGAGATACACAATATCCCAACTGGAGGATTCTCCCACCCACAATTACCCATATTCATTGTAGAACTCATCCTTCTGGGAATTCGGAGAGCCGAGAGGTCGAGGCGTTGTTTGCTCCACTCGATCTTCCTCTATTTGGTAGGGGCGCGAATTGGTGGGAACACGAATGCGAGCACTTCCGCCCTGATAGTCCACTCGATCTATTTGGTCACTATCGCCGCTGCTCCTCGACCAGGACCATTTGTCGTCCGCGGCGTGACTGTAAGCCAGCGCCAGGAGGAGAATTGCACAAATCTTGGCTGAAAATGCAAAGTATTTCGTACACACAAAGTGATGGCGGAATTTGTGCAGAATACCTACAATTATGCATCATTCAATCACATGTATTCACAAGTCGTCAGAGACTTGTTGCTGCTGTCTTGAAGTGTTTCAGTCGTCGCGAAGAATTCCGCATAAAACTGGCATCAAGAATATGTTTGAAGTTCACCACGGAAGCCTGAAACAGAGAAAAGTTCATCATTGAAGTACAAATGCAGGGAAAATGCAAATATTTGCGCGAATTGACGAACTCAAGGGGCAGATATTGTGATCGGAAGTGGTGTACAGTTTTAAAGGAAGGAATATTTGCATTACAAAAGCTTCCGTTTCAACAAATTGAGGCCTTTTCTAATTTATTTTGTCTAGAAAAATTAATTTTATCGCTTTTTCTAGGTTATGGCGACTAAATAACCTCAAAATCATGAAATTTGTGTTGAGGCTGAGAATATTTCTCTTTTCCTCGGTAGAATTGAGCATTTGTGTGTGAAAAAATTCCACATTTGTTAGGAAACAGCCTTAAATTTAACCATAACCTCAAAAATGTTTGAAAGAATTGTCTTTAATTAGTTTTTTTTCTGGATTTGCGCTTTAAAGTTGCAAATTTAACATCATTTTCGAGTAGAAACTTTGCAATATTCTTCATATTCACTGATTTCCAGATTTCAAAGAATTTAAATTAAAACAATAAGAATTTTAAGGCTGGATTCATAACCTCACAATTTTGTTAGAATCCTTCTAAGCATTTTTAAAGAGCAAAACAAGCAAACCAAGATGGAAATTGTTCATGAACAAATTCCTGGACTTTAAGAATAGTTTTTAGAATCTGCAATCTAAGTATTTGAAGACAGAAAAACCTGGATTAATTTTGATAAGTCAGAAATCAGTGTGAGAAACAATTAAAAGAGTTGGAAATGCGATGGAAAATGCCTTTTGAGGCGTTCGGAAGTGTTGAGAATTCAGCAGAGAACCGTGAAAATGTGTCAGAAAGTGGTGTACGGATCCAAGGCACACTATCTCCCCCTTGGATGGAGGAAAGTGAGTGGAAAACAACACTTCACACACGCATTTTTCACGAGATTCTCTTTCAACGCGGCGTTTGAGGCAATTCTATCATGGAAATTGATTTGTGATGAGAAAAACTCCCACACTTTATGTCCAATTTAGTGTACTTAAATAGTTTACGACTCTATAAACAAATTGTTTTCAATCAATCTTATTAGGTTTTCCGCTCATTCGGCGCGCGTCGGAATCCGTTTGGTCATCAATCAATTTTGATGCTTTGTTTAATTATTCCAATTGGACACGATGATGGTTGTCTGCGCCCCAAAAGCGCGCTTCGGGTATTAATCAGGGACGGTTTTATAATCTTTGTCGTATTTGCTAATTCCAATAAGCACACTAATCCTCAGCATTAATTATTTCTTTTCAACACATGGCTTTTCTCTCGCCCTTTTCGCGCTCAAACAAAACACGCACAACTTCTCACTGGTAATTCAGCTGTTCGGGATCGATTTATATATAGAAAGGGAGTTTGAAGACAGAAGGAGTGTTAAAGGTAATAAACTTCTCACCCATAAAATAATCACTAAACTTGTGCTTTTATAGTTGATGTTGGCGTGAAGTTTGCAGAAATAAAACTGAAGTGGATCCAAAATGAGACCAACATCTTATATATTTTTCGTAATATAGACATATTCCTTCACTCGGGCGCCGCGCTCGCGAGCAAAAGGGGGAGAGCCTTGATAATTTTCATACAAGTCAACACATATACTCTCAGTCTTTTTCGCATTGTGCCGTGTTATGAGTATATTTTATTGCTGTTACGTGGATAAAATTTAACATAGATTGAGCGAGGGAGAGAGAGAGAGACATAATACCACGACATCAGTGCTCTAATACCTCGATGATTCTCAAAAGTTGAGCCACACGAATTGGTCACAGTCGCAACTTTCGCTTTCGCGATCACGCCAGAGAGAAATATCTTCGGGTGAATTGAACTCTCTCACACACGAGCGTGTGTACTTCTTTTCTGCTTCGATGTCATTCCAATTAAAATTCAGTTCCAGTTCCGAATCTCTCATGCAGCACCGCGCTTGGACTGCTCAATTCCATGCTATTATCGCGGAATGTTTCCTCTCACATCACATCCAGGGGAAAAAACCTCGCCAAGACCGCTAGACAACATCTTAACCGTGAATTTCTATCAACGCAGCGATCAAAAAGAGCTAAGAAACCAGAGTTGAGAGGAAAAAACTCATTTCTTAGCGTGTTTTTGCTAAAATCTTAGCAATCTGAGGAGAGAACAAAATACATAGATGTCGCAGCAAGCGAAAACACAACAAATTAATTGTATAAATATGAAATAATGACATTTAGCGCCATTTTCCACTTCGGCGGGTGAATAAAAAACTATGAAAAGCCAAAATTTAGCGTTAATAAAGCTGCGAAATTTGCTAAATTTTATTCAAAATTCTAAAAATGCCTTCAAATCGTCCGATTAAGTGCAAATATTGCTCTGTACTTATTTTTTACTACAATATGACAAAATTAATAGAAAAAATTGAAAATATTACTTTTAAGAGTCAATTTTAATAGTTTTTCAGTCGATTTTATCCAAACAAGTTAAAAAAAAATCAACTTTTCCGTACAGTTTTCAAGTGAAAAAATTTAAATATATGAGAAATATTCATTAAGAGATTGAAAAAACATTTTAGAATGATTCTAAAAATTTGAAATAATTTTCTGTAAAAGCATTTTATGCGTTTAACTGCAAAAATGATTTTTGACGAAGTTTTAACAGAGTTTTAGAGGAAAATCGATTAAAATCTGTCGAATTTCTCACCTGAAATTGTCTTCAAAAATGCAAATTGCTCACAATTCATGTCATACTTCAACGTATATAATAATTTGATATAATTTATTAAAATGAGCTAATAGAAAAAGAATTGCTAAAAATTTCGCTCAAAATTGACGTGTTTTCAACTCTTTTTCTTCGTCTTTTAGCACTTTTTAGCTAAAATTCCTGCTGTTTTTTTAGCTTTTCTGCTCCGCTGGAGATTTAAACAAAGAATTTAATGCTGCGTCGGAAAAGTCCTGTGAAAATATGGCATCTGGCGTATTTATCCTTCCAGTTGAATTGGCGCTGAGGGAAGAAATCAATCATCAAGTCCTGCAACGCGGAATTCATGGGCTCAGATGGTCAATTTTCGCACAAATCCACTGTGGATTTTGCCAATCGATAATGATTATTGTGCGGTTTTATTTAAACCCAGCAACACTGTGAGAATTTCCGCCAAGACGCCGACCTTCACCCACTTTCAGGCACATCAGCGTTCTTATTGAGCATCCATTAATGCTGGCGAAGTGGCGCGATTTACATTAAAGAAAAAGAGCCTCCATTTGCTGTTTCTTTCTATCAATTCGCCGTCTTACCACACATGCACTGAGATGTCTCTCTGCAGCACCTTGATTTTTTGTGAGCGACGCGGGAAAAACCCACGCATTGGTAGTAAATAATAAGTGGGTGATTTTCATCCAAGTCTACTTCATAGCCATGACCAAAATATGCTTCTTCTCGGGCGGGGAATTATTCTGTGAGAATCCTGACAGTTTCCTTGATTAGTGAACAACATTATTATGCACTGTTTTGGGTGTGGTTTGCTGTCAATGAATGGGAAAACGCATTAACGCGTGATTTCTTTCAGTGCAGAAAAGCAAAAGTTTGTACAAAATTTATGTGAAAAAGGCACTAATTAGGCAACACGATAATCATCAATAAACATTTTTCGAATGCCAAATTACTGCAGAGAAGCTTGATTGAATATTTTGAAGAACACACAAACAAAATCTCGGTGAAAAGTTGTGCGTGTAGAATAATTTATTGATCCATCAGATGATGAGAGTGTTTAGCATTTCACGTTGGATTTCCTTCCCCGAAAAATTTAATTTAATTTCCTCCACGCTAATAATTAACGGGCTGAGCGGCCAGGTTGAGCTCAGCGCCGGACATGAACAAATAAGCATTCTTGGGAGATTTACACACACTTATAAATCACCTTGTTTCCCTCGAAATTCCCACGAAAATCCGCCCATGACAGTGTCATTGCTGTGATGGCAATAAAAGCGCCGCTTTTTTGCACAAACAGCTTTACTCTCAATGCACTTCATTGACAAAGTCACGCCAATGGAATTGATGCGATGATTTTGCGCGGAGCTTTTCATCATCATCGACGATGATTAAAATTGAAAGCACACAGAATTGCAGCACAAAACTGCGGGGAATGTTTATTGTGAGAAAAACGTACATTTAGTGGAATTTGAGCGATAATCTGCTTTTGATATCGCGAAGAAAATATCCAAACCATTGTTGCAGAAGTGGAAAACGAGCTCGACAATCTTACACATCACTGTTCGAGACTCTCTTTCTCAATATCTCGCTTTGAGCAACTATTTCTCTACGATGTGATTTTTTTTTCCGCCAACCATTGATAGTTTCCGGCGGTGTTTTGTGCCGCTTTGCACTTTAATTAAATTCAGTAATTATGTAAGAGAGTCTCATTTGGAATTTAACACTTTGTCGCTCCGACGATTGGGTTCCCGTGGTGGTTTTGGGGGCTCCAGAGTCATAGAATTAGATGAGGTAGAGAGAGAGATGTTGTTATTGAATGCAGAGGCCGCATTGTGTGAGCTCTGCGGAGCATGAAGTCAACAGAAGCCACAATAGATTGGGAATTTCGTTGAAACATCATCTGGGAAATTAGACGGAGGCTTTCCTCCTTGCCAACAAGACAGGGACAAATGTTGCGAAATGAGCTGACATGCAAGAGACACGGAGAGTCGCATGAATTTCTCAAGTGCTCCACGTCTTCGTCGTAAAGTGAAAGAAACATAATCATTGATGGAAGCGAAGGATTTTCAGCAACATGGAAATTTCGGAGGTTACACACGTCCAATCGCATGGGTTTTTCAGACACCCTCGCCATTTAATAGAATAATTTGTGTGTCTGCAAACTTTTGCAGCACTCCTTCTTGCAGCTGCAATCCAAAGTCACACAGCTCTTGTAATCACTCAGAATCTCAGTTTCGTCCATTTTGAACAACCCTAAAACACATTTTCCTCATTTGCTCAGTCTTTATGGCATGAATCGGCCTCAGATTTTAGTAAGGTATAACTGACGTTAAAGCCTTTCTAACGAATCCATACTTAAGGCTCTAAGTCCTTACAAATCCTAGATATTAACGACCAAAATTTTAAACTTTAAACAGCAATAACTTCGGTTTAATTGATCTAATCAGAATAACTTTGGATTCATTGGAAAGGTCTTGCAAAATTTAATCTTAAACGTGAAAATCATAACTTGGTACAACCACCGCTAGGGGCGCTAAAGTTGCAAGAATGATTTTTAAAACTTTAAATTCGTATAACTCAAGAACTAGACCACAAATTTTCTTTAAATTTTAGTATGTTGTAGCTGAGATTAAGACCTTTCCAACGAATCGTCACTTATGAGGATTGAACTTATAAGAGCGAAGATATGGAGGGTCAAAGTTCAATAGGTCAAATCTTTATTTGCTTATATCTCAACTGTTTACCGACCGATTTCGATTATCTCTTCACCAAAAGACATATTTAGCCTCCCTTTAGTAGACCACATTCATCATTAGTCTGTGACGACATCACGAACACCGCCATATTGAATTAACTTTGAACGCCTGTATCTCGACAACTTTACTAAGTATACGAATAAGATTCTATTATGTTGTAGTTCAGGTCAGGACGTTTATTAGAACATATCATACCTCTCATTGGGAATAGTAGAATTGGAGTTTTGGCGCTTCAAAGTTTTGATTTTGTATGTTCTAAAACTTTGCTTCTCTTTGTTTGAAACTTCTCGCTGAAGCTTATAATTTGCCTCAAATCGAGTTCGCCACAAACCCAGCTTGTCTCCGTGAGCTGAGCTGACTTTCTCTCTCTCTCTCTCTCTCTCTCTGTCCGTCTCTGTCTCTAGGGTACGGTCACATCGCGCCGAAAACTCATATGGGGAAAGTGACAACGATTTTTTACGCCATCCTCGGAATTCCACTGATGCTGCTGTGTTTGTCAAATATTGGCGATATCATGGCCTCGTCCTTCAGGTGAGTTCGGAGTGAATTGTGTGCTCTGCTGCTCCCGACGTGCAAACTGACCCGCAGGGGAAGGTTGTAAATTTCAGGGCGAAAGTCTCACAGCACAGAAATGGGCGAAAAATTAATAATAAATTTGTTAACATTGCAGATTTTTGTACTGGCGTGTGTGCTGCTTTGTATGCACCAGAGAGCCGAAACGCTCTCCGTCGAGACGCTTGCGTCCTGGCAGAGGAACCATTCGTCAGCCGGGGTATTTTGCAATTTTACTCGTGATTGAATTTACTCTCTCTCCACCTCTTATTCCAATTTCCCTCCCCCCTGAACAAGTGTTCGTGCACATTTCCCATGAGTGGAACACACGAGACTTCACAGATTTCACATCCACTCTCCTGGAATACCACACTTATTTGATGTAGGGCACATTCCCCGCGAGCTGTGGGTCGCCTCAATATCCTTCAGCTCCGCAGCACATTTTATTGCGGCAAGGAGATTAATTTGAATGGCGCATTTTATACCAGAGGAAATTCATAGAATCTACTCAGTTTTCAGGAATTTATATTCTATTTCCTCTCCTTGACTTACTTTTGTGGGTCAATTCGTGTTAATAATTAACCTTTTGCCATTCGATTTTCATGGGTCAATTTCCCGCTAAACCTGAGGAATGTTAAACTTCAAAGATGTTAAAGCTTAACATTCCAGGAAAATGGTGAAATTTGCCAGAATTTGTGGTGAAATATTTATACAAATGGTTAATATTTTATGTGTGACCCAGAATACCAAAGACTGCTTTAAACTCTTTTATCACATTTTTAACATCCATCATTTGAGTGGGAATTGATCCAATTCAACTGTTTCAACGTGTGCTAAAGAGGTTAGATGATTGAACGTAGTTTATAGACTCAAAAGCATATCAAACTGAAGAGATTTTCACAATATAAATCGCGCCTTTCCTCACAGACACTTGACATAGTAAATTTGAGCTTCGGATTGAGTCAAGAAACCCATTCGGCTGACATCTCAAATATATTTTGACGTGAGCAATCATTTCGTTTCCCCCAACATTTTGCTTCTTTTCCGCTCTTTTTTCTCTCTCAATAGACGCCAATCCATTCGTAAGACGGAACGAACAATTTCGCAGAAATCACGGGATTCAGGCTTCGAGCCCAGCCTCAGTCACGCATATTCCGACACAGAACTGCGCTACACTACGACGGAACGTGCCAGCGCGGCACATCATGACTACAACACGCGACATCCGCGCTTCAATCGCGACAAGAATCGCTTCAGGGATCGGCACACGGTGGAGCGGGAGCGGAATGTGGCGCGAGAGCTTCGCGATGATGAGTTTGGCGATCTCTCGCCGCGCCCGAGTCGCTACAACACGACAGGCGTGATAAACAGGGATTCTGGGCATCACCGCAGCGATCCGCGCTTCCACGGCCTTCGTGGCCAGTCGCTGGACCGGAAGCACAACCGCCACGAGGCGCCGGACGCGGAAATTCCGGTGCTGTGCAACAGATATGCCATCGATGACATGGATAAGGGCGCGCCGGAGGCCGGCGGCAGTGACAGGGCGGCGCACAGGCGTCGCATGAGGGCCAGACACTATCAGCCCATCAGTGGGCCGAGGAGCCAATCTGTGCCGCGGCCGCTGTACGCGAATCGCCTCGAGCTGCCGGAGATTTCACCGCCATCATCGCGCCACAAGCACTTTGCGGAGGACATGGACGATTTCGAGGAGCCGGAGCTGCGGATTCAGGCAATTAGGAAGGCAAAGAAGCGCGACAGAGCCGGTGAGATGGCAAACAAGCATTATGGCTTCCTAATCACGCCAAGCATGACTAATTAATTTACTAAAATCGAATGGGTGAATGGCTTTGGCGGAAGAGCACGGCATTTCTCATCTCTTGCGCCCAATTTGACCGATGTGTGACATGACAAGTGGTCCGTGCTATTTCCACACAAACATATAACGAATGAGATTCGCTGCGGTTAATTAAAATTTGACTGACACATTCGTGCCAAGTTGCTGACAAATTTGTGTGTATCTCGCGACATTGGACTAACATTCATATTCTCATGAGTAATCCACACTTTTCGGGGAGTTTGTCCTGGCTTCACTCAGACTGCAATGCTCTCCACACAGCGCCGCCATCGCCCCGAATCATGTCACCGATGGGATTTGCAGTGCACCGACAGGCGAGATACGAGGAGGGAAATTCGCTGTACGATGACGACTGGGACTCGTACGGGGACATGCCGAACCGATCACGTCCCGTCCCTATTTGGCTTTGTGTCTTCCTCGTAATCAGCTATATTATCGCCGGCGCATTTCTCTTCTCCAGCTGGGAGCCCTGGTCATTTCTCGACTCCGCGTATTTCTGCTTCATAACGCTCACGACCATCGGTAAGGCATCACTGCAAGGGGGAGATATTGTGGTCAGAAGTGGTGTACACTTCAGCAGAAGTATACAAGAAGTAACACACTCAGAGCTTAGTCTGCTTTATCGACACTAGCGTCAAGTTTAACGTAAAAATTGCGAAAATTAGTGATTCTCTGAAGAATTGGGTGAATTTAAGAGCCCAGGAACTACATTTTTTTCGCAAGATATCCGCCATTTTGTGCGTTTTGAGCTGTTAAGTAATTCGGCAAATTTCAGTTGAGCGCGCTGTCGTCGCGAACCTCGAAAATACCGAATGATTCTTCGATATATCGAGGATAATCGGTCTTGATATGAGATTGTGGCTCAATTTGCTCAGTTCACCACACTGTCATATTTGGGAAACGGGGAAAACCGATGATAATAAGTGGCTTAAATGAGAAACAAGAGATCCTTCTGCTGTTAACTGTGCGCAAAAGGAATAGGAAGAGGAGAAGAAGGTAAAAACAGCCAATTTGCTGAGTTTGAGCAACTCTTTGAAGGCGTTAAAGCCTATTCTAGTGAGCCAATTCGTGCTTGTCAATAATAATTAAGTCGTGGTCTTTCGATTTACATCAGTTTAACCCCAAAATTGGGTGGAAATCCGACTTTGAAAATCTGTGCTCAGTTCTTTGTGCTCAGTTAATCACAAGTAAACGCAGTGGGATAACTCCCTTATAAATCAATTCTCATTCAGATAATAGCTTAACACTAAAAATCATTAATATTGTGAAAAAGTCCTTGAATAGGTTTGAAAATCATACTTATGAACTTGTTAGTTAGATTTCAGTTAGTTTCCAGTTATTTTTAGCCTCCATGAAGTCGTGGGAAGTGTTTGTGATGTACAGATTCGGGGCCATATTATCTCCTCCTTGCATCAAGTGTAAAATATGCAAAGAAAAACCCTCTTCGGCATCAGAGGGCGAATAGTTTTCCTCAGCACGTATCAATTATGTAAGACGACGATGTGCCGTAATATCTCTTCTCATTTCGAAGGTTTCGGCGATTATGTCCCGGCGACTGGTGTGAAAGCCAATTCGGAAGTGTCAATAGCACTGTGCTCACTCTATTTGCTCTTTGGCATCGCACTCCTGGCCATGAGCTTCAATCTCGTGCAGGAAGAGGTAATCGCCAATGTAAAGAGTGTTGCTCGTCGTTTGGGAATACTCAAGGAAGAGGAAATCGATGATTAGACTCCACCGGATAAGGCTTCGGCACTCTTGCAACATTTTCCACGCCCAGAATCTTATTAAATTTTCATTACTTCACTGTACTAAACTGGAGTATTTACATTACATTATATACAGCCCCAAAAATTTGCTCCACTTCCTATATGATTGTGAATTTTAACACTACATGTCTGTCACCTATAAATAGAGAAATTTTGTGAATATTTCAATATATCCTTGGCTAGAATGTCACCAACTTATTGGGAATTATCTCCAAATTCTCTGGTTTTTCTTCAGTTGAAAAAAAAATCCCATACAGAAGTGGTTTTTGGTTCATATTTGATGAAAATCCAAAGGGATTTTAGACAAAATTGACGAATTGATTGACTATGTGAGCAAATCGTTTTAACACTAAAGGCATAAAATAGTCGTAAAATTTTTTAATAGCAAATCATTGCAATTTTCAATCATGATCGAAATTCATTGTAACAACTCGTAACAATGTGAGGGAAAAAAAACCATCTTTGGGGGCAATAATGTCCCATCATGAATATGATAAACTCCCACGCATTTTCCTCCCCCCCCCAATTTTAATATTGTATTTAATATAATGTACAAGGATGTTAGATGATAATAAAGCTTGTATTTTTTATTACCCGCAGCATTAAAATATGTCGATGCAGAGCAAGGGAGAAGAATAAGGATAAAATATGTACACAAAATGGGTGAAATTTCTTATTTTATCGGCGCGAGGATGTGTAAAATATGCGCTTTCACGTTTAAGTGATGCTTACACCACTTTACGAAAATTTACGATTTGTTTTATTGATTGATTTTATAGCTATTATGTGCCACACTCATGGCTAATATTATTCATGTGAAATATGACGGAAATTGGCTGTACGGCAAAATTTCGGCATCACTTTTCGACGTCACGGCGCTTTGGCTCCGATGCATCGCAATGTTCTGCATCAATCTTGACTGAGAATACTTGCGATAATCTCAGCTTGGATTCCTTCAGCGCAAGGACACTTCACCACAATTCGCTATGGAAACGAAATGTAGAAGATAGAGAAGCTTAGTGCGATTTTAAAAAGCTCCACTCTCCCCTAAGCATACATACAGTGGACGACAAAGGAATAAAGCAGCTCAGCTTCAAATGTGCTGCCAAATCTTGTGAAATTTCTGCAGAAATTTCCGTGAAGCTTCTGTGAAATGTCGGAAATTGCTTTCCAGTGAAAAATTGCGGAAATATGCAAATTGTGGACATAATTGAGCAGGTAAGTCATCATAAAATGCAAAAACGGATGTTCTAAGACATTCGTATGATGGAAGGGAATCTTAGAGTATTTAAAGACTTGCGGGTTACTCTCGAATCGACGAAAACTGGGATCAATTCTCAGTTGAACTGGCGCTAAACACAGTCAGGAGTTATTCTTCTTTATCGATACTAGCGACAATTCTGCTTCGTGTGTTCAGCTGTCAATTAGTTTGTTTATTTTATCCAAAAGCGTGAAATTTTACGATAAAATTGCAGAATAATTAAATGATTTTGAGAGCCTACGAAATTATTCGCAAGATATCCGCCATTTTGCTTTTCCTGCGTTGTGAAATATTTCGGCGCATTTTCGCCCGAGCGCGCTGCCGTCGAGAAAACCAAAAAATCGGATGAACCTTCGATAGATCGAGGGATTGTTCGCGTTTTATGGCTTAGCGAACTGTCAGTCGTTTACATTCGCGCTCTAGCTTATCCTCTCGTGGATCACCAGCAAGTCTGTAATCGCTCTTGAGCTTAGATGAAACTGTGGTTCATTGATCAACATGTATTGATTAGCAAAGCTACAGTCGCGGGTTCGAATCCCAACGGTTGTCAATGTTCGAAGACATCAGCAGTTCTGTTATTATATTTCAAGCTGGGCTTTTCTGGTTGGTCAGCAAACTGACAATCGAATATGTCTTAAGCCACCTTAAGTAAGTAATCTTAAGATTAATCTTCTTCTCTTCTAAAAGTGTCTTAAACTATCAAAATTCGCCAATTTACCCTGAAAGTAAATGATTTATTTACATTTCTCGTGATATCTTGAGGTTTTTCGATGGTTTTTCGGGGAACTCGGAGGGTGTCTTATTTCACTGGCGCCCACTGTAAGTATGGACGTCGAAATATGCGATGCCCCATTTTGCCTTGATGCGGATTTTATTTCTCCTTTCCAGCGAAGCCTCTCCATATTCTGGAAAACATTGGCGTATTCTTCAGATTAGATTGACGCTTATGTCAGATTCACGGGCTCCGTTTTTCGCCCACCTTTTCAGCACACACACGCGTTGTATTGATTTTGAGAGATGGCGAGGAAGAATCGCGCGGTGTCAGCAAATATTGAGCCACTTTGTGCTCGTCTCTTTGCTGCACTGTTTCGATAGTTCGCCCATAATGTCAGTCAACAGTGCTCATGATCCCTTGATGGCTTTTTTTCCATCCATTGACTTCACCTCAACACCCCTCGGGGCCGCGGAGGGTGGAAATTTTTGAACGACAATCGAAGAAAATATCTCAACGCGCGCGGGATCGAAAGCTGTGCGATGTGAAAAGTTCCTCCGCCACATCGCGTGCTAAGTGAAGTGTCATGAGCAACAACTCAAATCACTTTGCTCAATCTCATAAACTTATCATCCCTTCACGAGTCATCACCATTGCTGTGCTTTGGGGCGGGGTGAATTAACAATGCCGACACGGCGGATTGCGGAGTCAATGCGCTCCACTTTCCCCCCGATGTTAATTAATAATTCTGGCAAATATAATTATCAACTTGTAGCACAGATGCATCACTGAAATCACCCCACAAGCCGCCAATACAGTGAGTCTGCGGCACGTATTTTCATCATTATGCTGAACAATTATAGATTTATAGCGCCGCGAGGTGACGTCACAACTGTGATTTTTCCAATTTGAATTGGCACAGAAAACTCACATGGCTCGCCACTCTGTGTGTGCGGCAGAAATAGCCGTGGAAATTCCTTGGCTGGCTGTGAAAATGAGAAAATTAATGTTTCAGAGGTGAATACGCGCTCACTTCAGTGACGATATTATGCGAGTTGACGCTGCTGAGATGGCATCAGCGGCACCATGTGGCGCTGAAGTGGAGCCGAAAAAAAGCGCGGGGTTTCGAGACAACAAACACCGATGAGCGCAGATAAAAAATGTGACGGAAAATTTCGCAATTGGGACGTCGAACCCAACATTACACATATATAACTCAGTGGAAAAAAGAGGTGTTTCGATCAAATGGATCTTCTCGCTTGGCTATAATTTAGGTTTAATCATTTTTTTTTGAAAAATCTGACACACATTAGGTGATGTTGTGAAATGTATGACATTTATTTACAGTATGTTCTTTCAAACTATTGTCGGGGTCAAAGATGGAGATGATGTGCATGAAATTTCTTCCAAGATTTCTCGATTTATATGTGAAAACATCAATTTTCTGTAGGAATTTTATAATAAATTGTCAAATTTAGATCAAAAGCATTGCTAGAAAATGAATTTTGTGACTTTTTCACTAGTAAATCAGATTTATCATGTCGATTAATCAATCTCATCGTATAGAAACTCTTTTCGATATTGTTTCTCGTCTTTTTTCAATGATAATCACAAACAATATTCAGAGATTTTAAGGAATTTTATTTGGTACTGAGCTAAATTGCGTATCTCATTCATTTGAATGTGTGCGAAGATCGCGACTTGGTCTAAAGACAAGACACGCGGCGTCGCGAAATGTCAGTCTTTTTGACTCTGATTGTAGGGATTTTGGAGTGTTGAATCTTAAAGCATAGAGAAGCTCAATTCTGTCGAGATCCTTTGCTCTGTATTTTATTAAAGAATTTAAGAAAAAAGCGTCAACAATCATAATTCGCCGAGTAAGCGCGAGAAGTTGGGAAATAAAGGATGAGACAGTTGGGAAAGAAAAGCAGAGGTCGCAACATATTGTGTGTGACAATATATTATCGTACTGGATTTAAAGTTTTAAATTTACACACGTACTTCTCGTGAAAAATCAAGATTGATGGACAAGTTTATTGGCTGCTGTGGTGAGATGGGGACGCCTGGTGGTTTGCCTCGCGCGCACTTCCAATAACTCAAAAGTGCGTGGCGAATAAAGAATGTTGTATTTGAAGTCAATTAGATGGACAGAAGGAGAAATGGGAGATGATGTTGGAGGTGTTGCGCAATGTGGACACATTTGTGGATTCTGATATGCCATAGTTCTTGATCTCAGAGCAGATAAATCACTCGGCGTCCCCACGGAGTTCAGTTCCTGCGCCGCTGGCGAGAGTGAGAAATATCTCAATACCCAGCGATATTGTACAATATATCTATCATCGTAATGTATGTGAAATACTGCCTCGAATATCCACTTGAAGTGTCTTCTGAAGTCAGAGATGAATGTGGGTGCTTTTTTCCCCCCCAATTTTCACTGTCCAATTGCAATGCACAATTTGTTGTCTCATTTCACATCAATATTATGCTACATCTCGTGTCACGCTACACCTTGGCCACTTTCTTGGGCAGCAACGACGAAATTAGAATGAGAAATTGCTTGTGTGCGGCAATTAATCACGTTGGAAATTGCAGGCACGATTATATGAAGTCATTTGGCACTTTGTGGACAAAGTTAATGGGCCAGCATTACAGACCTCAACAATTTATTAACATCTCCCGATGCTCCATTCGCCAGTGGCTCAGATGCCATCCCAATCTATATGGCTTCCACCACGTAAGATAATAATTAAATCATTTTATACTTTGTGATATAAATAAATGAAGTGTAAATTCATCATTCTCACCACTCTGGCCATAGAGTCATGAAAAATAAACAGTGGCATTTTATATCACGAAATGTGTTGCAATTGTTCCACACATAAACATACATAATAAAGCCAAAGAGAACATGGAAGAGGCCAAATCTCTTGTGGGGGACCCTTTGTGAACTTTCCTTTGATAGTGTTACAAATTTATGGTTGAGAATTATTGTGTTAATTTAGGAAAATGAAATAGACATGTGCAGAGTCTATTTATAAATGATCGTTCCGTGTTCAAAAATAATCCACACGACCGCTCTATATCGCTTCTCCGCCCATTGAGGCGCTCTTCTGGGTCGTCTTTAGTCTGTGTGCTAAGATCACGAGAGGCAGAACATTGCGATGCTTCGCGCCATGGCATCGACGCGTGGTTCGCAGCGAAGATTTTAGAGTCGCTGAAGGAATTTTTCGCCAGTGCGATTATAAGTTGGACAAATTCAGTTAATTCTCCCCCGCCCAAATCCCAGCGATATATATATATATTGTGCTTTTGTGAAAGGTATTCAAAATTACACTTAATTGGGCAAAATGCAATGTTAAAACATGTGTCGTGACAGTATCAAAATAATTGAGTTGTGATGGAGTGTTGCGGGTGGAAATATGTATGGAGGTCAATTAAAATTTTCAAATTAAAGCAATTCCCATCCCTATATTAAGCGATTAATTAAATAGGCTTTTATGCCACGGAGAGAGCCTCGTGTTGTGATTGTATGTAAAGCAAATGCCAATCGATGCATAATTGAGAGTATCCCAGGTAAATGCGATGAACATTGGGTGTCAGAATGAGGAAAATCCCATAGGAAGATCACTCAGGCTCAATTCTCCTGGAATTTGTGCAATTTTGTTGTGAAATTGCTCCTGAAGATATCCGTGAATCGATGATGTGTTCCTCAGGAAAGTCCAAGATGCAGATATTGCGGTCGGAAGTGGTGTACAGCTTCAAAGGAATGATATTTGCACCACAAAAGCTTCCTTTTCAAAAAATTATGGGATTTTCTACATTACTTTGCTTAGAAAAATCAGTTTTATCATTTTTTCCAGGTTATGGCGATTAAATAACCTCAAAATCATCCAATTTGTGTTCAAGCAGAGAATTTTTCTCATTTTCTTAGCAGATTTGAGCATTTGTGTTCGAAAAAATTGCAGATTTATTGGAAAAAAGCTCTAAAGTCAAACATAACCTCAAAAATGTCACTCCAGTTTAGAAAAATCTTTCTTTTTTAGTTATTTTCGCGGTTTCTGGTGTTAAGTGGCAAATATAACCTCATCAATTTCTAGTGGAAAAATTGTGATATTCGTTATATTTACACATTTTCAAGCTTGAAGTATTTTTTAAGTCAAATTCATAACCTCACAATTAGGTTAGGTTTCTTCTGAGCCTTTTCTAAATCCAAAATTGGCGAATTAAGACAGAAATTCGATTCTAAGACTCAAGATCCTGCACAAAAGTGTGAAAATGTGTCAAAAAGTTGTGTACAGAATTCAAGGCAGATTATCTTCCCCTTGGGAAAATGCAATCTCATGCCATTGGAAGTATTTTCTGAATGTGTTCTGGTCCACTTGGCAGACAATCTATGTCAGTGAATGGCGATTTACTCTGAAATAAGAGGGATATTAAATCGTCCAGCGAATTGTTTATCACATATTCCAACCTTGCATTCGACAATTTGTTTTAAGTTGGATTTATTCAAATAACAAACAACATATTCCACTTGATTCCATGCTCTGCGCCAATGCTAAGAGTGTTAGTTTTCAATATGCAGCTTTCGCTCGTTCTATAGGGGAGAAGTGCCATTGGAACGTGATCGGCGATTTCAGTTGAAAATATGAGAACATTATTGCTATAATGGTTATAATGTCGACATCGAATATGGCCTCAGGACGGGCGTTTAGGTCACTTGAAATTCGAACATACAAGTAAAATAATAAAGGACTTTTGTGTAATGGGGAAAGTTTTGTCGGGTAAATTTTAGTCTGAAATGCCGAAAGATGAAAATAACCATTTAAGTTTAAATTTTCAATCTCAGCTCACAGTGTGTCTTGAGATCCCATACAAATATTGAGAAACAGACCAATTATGCTCCTCTATTTGACCCTATCGAAGTCGGATCCCTTTCGTCCCATTTTCATCCGTTCCGCCTCGCAATTGCCACTGTCTGCTCAACTCCTCGACAAACACGCCCAACATTCATAACTCATCAATCTGATGGAGACAGGTAGCTGATGATGTATGATTTCACAGCCAACATTCGCATAAATCGCTCTGAAAGCCAATCGAAATAGCCGAGAGAGTATTTTTCTAATGCATCCCTGAATACATAACATGTCATGAGCACTGCAAGTGAAGATTGAGCTTTGTCAAGGGGGAGAAAATACGATCAGAAGCTGTGTACAGTTCAGCAGAAGCACAAAGAAGTGGAAATCTTTAAGTTTCACTCGATTTAACGTATATTTTCTAGGTTATGTTACTCATTGAAGACAAATTAATTCACCTGAATTGAAATTATTTCCACTTATTAGAAGAATTATGTGTTTTCAGTGAATGAAAATCATTATTCCGGAAACTGAGTGGCGAAAAGAACGCTACAATTAAACATAACCTCAATTTGTAACTTCTTATTGCAATATTTGCAAGAAAAACAACGATTTCTAACCTCATTTTTGGGCAAAATCAAGTTATTTGTGTATAAAAGATTGCGATTTTGGATTTTCAGTCCAAGAAACACTGCAAAGAGTGATAAAGTCAAACATAACCACAAAAAAGAGTTTCTTTTTAATCATTTCACCATTTTTCGAAGGTTCCCAATGGTTTTTTTTTGAGGTTATGATCGAAGAAAGTTATTTAAAGCAGTTTTATGCTGAGAAAATTCTCTTTCTAGCTTATTTTCTCCCAGAAAGTTTGAATGCTTGAGAATTTCTCAGAACAATAATATTCACTGTAAATCTTCTCCATTATACATAGTATGCTATATATAACATGAAATCCTTTTTCAGTAGCAAAATCCTATTGTAATAACACTTTCGAGTAATTACACAGCTCTATTGCAGAAAAAGTGGCCTTTATTTGTGGAAATAAAAATGCTGAAGCTTCCTGTTTGCTGGGCTTAACAGGTGTAGTCGCTGCCATTCTCTCAACATTCACCCCGTGAAAGCTCAACTATATAGCTCAGCGGAGAGCACATCTTCCCGGGCAAAGCATGAAATATGGTAATACAGCTCCTGCAGTCGACTATGAAAGCATATTGTGTGCTGCCTTGGAATGCTGGCGTTTGTGCGGAGCTGCAACAAATCTGCTGTTTCCGGTCGTTTGTATGTGAACGCCATAAAGAAATATTTTTTGAGCTCTCGCTGCTGCGGCCGTGCGGTTACTTTCGCCACCCCTCGTCTTGTAGGCGCTGACAATGGGAGGCTGTGCTATATATCTCAACTGCATTCACACCGAAGCATCTCCTCGCATCCTGCGACATCCACACACTCGCGCTGCACCCATTATCCCCACATGATCCTCGCCCTTCGCCTTGCGCCGCACTCGCCTCGTCCTGCAGCACAGAGTATCGACAATTCTGAAAGATTCAGTGTGCTACGAATTTATGCGACTGGGGAAAAATACAGCTCTCCACCCGACCTCCACTGAACCCATAATTCAGACTAGGTGTGCAATTATTTTCGCCCTCGTACATCATGTGAAATATTTATTTCGCACCACTTCAAGCGCCGAAGCCACTGAAGCTAATAGTTTTGTAGCTCAGAAGACCTTTGAGGAAAAACTCTGGAGTATTTTATAGTGTTCTGTTTCGTAGTTAAACGCCTAAAATTCTAGGAAAAATTAAGAAATTATTCATTAAACTCGGATTTTTTCTCAATTAAAAAATTTTATCGAAAATATATTAAAATAATCGGTTATTTTCGATTTTATGAGTCTAAAAACTGTCTTAAAACTGTAATTAATAGATTGTAGAAGTTCTCTATTGATATTTTTGTCATATTTTATTGGGAAAAGTGACATAAAAAGTCAGCAAATGATTATAAATGAAAGAAAAATAGTGATTTTAAGAGAAAAACTGCTATTTAGAAAGGAATTGAATTACAATTGAGAGGATTTAAGGAGAAAGTAAGGTTAGAAATGTCCTGAATAAATGTGTATGACAAAAATGTCAAGCGACGGTTAACTGATGACGTATTCTCTGGACAGAGAGCTGACTGTCTTGTGTCTGTCCACGGACAGTCCATTGATTTCCTCAGAATGGAAATATTTTATCAAGAAGTGTCCGCTGACGAACTAATTTGAGAAAACTCTTTAGAATCACTGAAATACATTTGCTGAGCTTTGCACTATAAATCTCACCATAATTTCTCTCCATTGTAGTTCTTTTGTTGTTTTCTTCTGTTCTGTGCGGGTTTCTTAAAAGTAATTTGGGCTCTAAATGTTATCATTTGATGTGGTTTGACTGAAGCTTCGCGCAAGACACGAGTGGGTGTTTGAGATTTTATATTAAGTCTTCCTCTTGGCAAGACTGCTGCTGAAAGAGATTGAGTTTCACACTCCGCGTGTACATTTAGTAAGTGGTTCTGGATACACTGAAGGCATTAAGTGAGCGGAGAATAAAAAAGAGAATAATTTAAGGGGGAAAGAGAGGAAAAACAGATTCTCTTCCAGTGACTAATCTATGGTCGATAAACCCATAAATCTGCTAGAGGTGTTAAACACTCAATCTCAATTTTACACCTCTTCGTCCCTTGTGTGGCGCCTCGAGAGGATCTGCGGTGACTATTAATAGTTTCAGGACTCATCGTGATGTTTCACTACAACTTAAATTTCAATCTGCTCGTGTAAATATGTGTAACGCCATGTAATAGGAAGTGAGCGTGTGCCATCCGGAGGGAAACTGTGTGCAAGCACATAAGATAAGGTTTTGTGTGCGGGATATGCAAAATTATGCTTCTTGCAGTGCTGCTGCCAAACAATTACAAAGTTGAAATTATCTGTCACACATTTGCGGAGTTTTTCCCGAAAAAAAAAAACAATCAGCCAGATTGTCGGACAAAAAGCATGGTTTGTGGTGAGAAAGAAAAGGTATTGTGGCTTGCACAGCATTTGCCGCAGTTTGACTTAGAACTTTTGATAGATTGCATTATGCTGGAAAGTGGGAGGGAGGAAATGTTGCACTTCTCGAGAACTCGATACACTCGTCCTAATGGATTTTCACGGCGAACGAAGTAAATTGGCTACATCGTCTGAAACTTCAAAAGTCGTCAAGTTTCACTAATGTATCGGTGGCGGAGGATCTTCAGTGAATTCACAGCTTATGATTGACGTTGCCAAATTATGAGCCGTGTCATCACCTAATGCTTCAGCCATTGATAGGTTGAAGCTGTTTAATTTTTTTTCCACTTCAGTGCAAGTTCCGAGAAAACACGTGATTAGTCGACAGCTTTTCGCTTTTCGGTGTGTGCCAGGAAAAGCCAGCGAGTGTGTGAGTGTTTGAAGAATTGGGAACATTTGTAGACACATCCTGAGCCTTGCATATCTCAGTACAGGCAATTGCGAAGGAGTAGCATTCCGAGTGATGATGTAGAGCTCACAGTTCAGTGCTTAGTTAACTGAGCAGTAAATGAATTTTGACTGTGTACATTTCCGTAGATTCCACGGCCTCTGGAGCCATCCATGGCGAGTGTCTTTCATGTCCACTGAGTAGATTGATGAACGAATGGCGGAATGTGTGTAATTGCATGGCGAATGGGAAATGAACGACAAGCATTTATTGTGTTCCACCCACTTTCACTCCCTCCACAGCCATGTGAATTAGTGGATGAATGTTTTGCGCCAACCATTTTGGGCTGATTTGATCCCACCATATCGGAATTGTCCAAGATATTCGTCGTGCGGCTCATAAATAATTTTACGTGGGCAACAGGCGTATGATAAAGCTCTTGCCCTTCACTGTGGACTTGTAGGCATCCTGATTATTCATTATTACCACTGTGGTAGGCAATAAAGCTTCCCCAAAATGGGAAAATGAGGAATTGAAATCATGGATTATACTGAAATGAGGCTCTTTGAAAGCGCCTAATATTTCGAAATATCACTAAATTTTACACTATTGTAATTGTCTCTCAAGCCCAGGGAAAAATAATATGCTTTAAATCAATCTTCTTTTTTGTTGACATTTCTATGGTGCGATAAGAAGATGTGGAGGGCCTCGAATGCTTCCAGTTTTTTACCGTGGAAGCGTTCTAGATCAACAAATCGACTGTTCTAATTTACCGATGAACTTAAAAAAGCAGATTCAGAGTCAAAATTGTCCAGAATGTTTTTTAAATACGAATTTAAAGGATTAGAATTTGATACATAACCTAGAAATTTGATAATTACCATTCTTTCTACGTAAAAATAGAAATATTTCCAAAGAATTTGGATAAATTAGCATTAAAATAAGCACATCAGTGAATTATCTCCCCCTTGTGAGAAGAAAGGGTGTGACAATTCACTGTGCATTCGAACAGGAAAAAGGAATTCCTTGGCTGTGACTTGGAGGAATTGTGTCGTCTAACTTCACATTTAATGCAGAAGCAATTAGAAACAATTACGACACTGTGCTGCGAATCCAATGCAACTGTGAAAGTTTAAGCATTTTCCCACCTTCCATTTAAATTTTGACCTATTTGAACTTCGATTACGCTCTGAATGCGACGGAGAACGGAGGGTAATAATATTAGCATCCCCTTAAAGTTCAGCAGCGATGAAATGTTTTAAGACACTCTCTGACTCCGCTGCAAGTTTCAGCAATTGTAAATTGCAAATGGACATAGTTTCCTAAACAAACAGCTACACATAGTGGCAATTTTGCTCCGTGCAAGACAGACAGAGAGAGAGAGAGAGGAAGTGAGCTTCCATCACTCCGCATGGCAAGTTCGTCTGCAAGCGCCACATAAGCCAAGAAAATATTGGAATGATGTACATTGCTTGTATGCAGAATCTCCGGGGTCGAGCGCAATATCAATGCTCCGGCCTTATCTTGTCTGACGTTGCGGGAAGGAGTCATGAAGGGTTGTATGGTCAGCACGGGGGTGTGATGTATGCGGCATGGAAGGAAAACAGAATGCCAGTGGTTTTCCCAAGCACCAAATTGCACCTTCACAATGACAGGAGCAAATCCGTAAAGTTTCCCCCACCAAACTTCGCAGCACGAACAATCCACTGCGAACGAAGGAGTCCAAGGAGTCCAAGGAGGCGAAGATATTGATTGCAATTCACCAAGAAAGTTGTGCAATTGAGACACAAATTGAGGCGACAGATAATTGTTTATAAATTGTAATATTAATATTGTATTAATTCGTAAAAGTTACGAATTGGCGTTGCAACTTATCGCTTCTCGCAGCTTATATTGGAGGACACCAGGAGGCGCTAATGTAAAGAAGGAATTAAATAATAACGTTATGGCAATGTTAGGCGAAGTTAGGAGTGTATTTACTACGAATTTTAGCTGTCAAAACTGTCAAAAAACCATTTCTTTGCGGATTCTTTAGAACTACTGTTTTGAGAATGTTTTCGGAGAGGAATATTTTTAAGAAATCTTAACAATAAATAGAATCAAATACTTCTAAACACTTTCTAAAGTCAGTTAGTTTCCTTAGAAAAGGTTAAAAGGCTTGTTAAAAGGTGTCCGGAAGCACATAACCTCAATCTGATGCATTAAAATGTGCACAAATTACAAGATGAATTCAAAAAATCTGTGCTAATCAATCTTAAAACATGATTATTGCTTAGTTTCTTGGATGTTCAAGTGTTTTTTCTTGCCTTTGTAATCTTTCATCGCAATTTAATGGATTCATAACTTTTACAACCTATATTTAAAATGTGAAGAAAGTAAAGTTGCAACGACCCCTAAAATCGCTGTTATTTTTCCATTATCCTGTACAAAAAGGATGATGAGCATTAGTTATTCAAACTGTTGCTGGGATGCAATGTGCATCCTTTAGTCCTTTTCGCTTGAAATGTGACAGAAAATCCCAAAATCCTTCCCTGTCGGGTTTTAGGGCGAAGAAGCATGTAAGTTCGTGGCGTATAAATCACGACAGGTGACATAAAATGCTGTAAATTCTGTGGGAAAAGCTGAAGCAATCCATTAATTGATTGTGTCTTGGTTGTCTAAACAATTCTTTACTTCCCGTAAGATCCAAATATTGATAAAGCCAGAGGTTTTGCAGTGTTGAATAATGGAAGAGGTGCAAATAGAGATGAGAAGAAGGGACGAAAGTCAATCCTATTACTATTTACATACATTTGAATTCCTGCAGATTCTCTGCATATGAAGATTTCCAGGTCAAAAGTTCTTTGCCTGGATTTTATTTTACCACTTTGATTTTCTTCTGCAGTAAAATCTATTTATGGCAGAGCAAGTTTTTTTTGTGCCGTGAAATGAAATGCAAAGGCAAAAGGATGTGAGAGCAATGAAAGGAGTGTTTAGCCGCATGTCTCGGCGTCATTATCCCCAATTTAAAAGCCAATACTCTGCCTTAGATCAAAAGAAGTGTATTAAAAGACGAGTGGATAAAGCTATTTCCTCTATTGTATACATTCAATGTCTGACGAATTAAAACAATTTGGAGATTAAAAGCACATTAACGCTCTTTCACCGCGTTGGAAGTTGTGTTGCCACATTTCCAACCACTAATATACGATGAATCGATTATAGAATAAACTTCTAATCAAGACTTTTGCACTATTGAATATGCATCAAATCTCTGAGGGTTTTTCCTTACAACATACTTTTAGTCTAGTTTGCTAACTTTGCCGAGATGCAAATCAGAAAAGCACTCGGAATAAATTCAGAGAGAGAGAAAAGAGTTTTGAACTTTCGACCACGAGTTATTTATATGATTGAAACGTGCGTGAAAAGTTCCTGGCTGAAATTTCAATCTTCACCAGTTGATTATTGAGAAAGTGTGTTTGAAAGTTTCAACGTTAAAATTATACAATGGACAATTGCAGGTAATACAAAAGATACGCCAAAGTAAAATTCAGTAAATCAGTTAAAATTCGACGGTTTACTCGAAAACTATCGAAAATCGAGAAAGTTGCGTTCATTTGCAAAATTTTTATACAAATTGATAATTTTCTTGTGTCCTCTTAGTGATTTTGCATCCTTAAATTCGCTTTAAAAATCACTTACATTAATTGACATTTGTTGGGCATAATTTTGTAGGGTGAAAAATATCAAAAATAAAACTTATCAAAAAACCGAAATTCTCAAAGAAATCTATGAAATTACATGAAAAATTCATTATTAGAAGAAAAATCTCACAATTAAAGTTATAAAGGTTGTAAATTATAAGGAAAATGTACAGGAAAAATGTGAAAAATTGCTTTTTACAAACTGTTTAGGCAAAAAGCACAAAGAAGACTTTCAAAAACCGATTTTTTTTTCTTAATATCATGAGTTCTTGAACCAATTCTCCTTCTTTCACCAATGAAATCAACAGAAATTGTTAGAAAATTATTGAAATTGATCAATTATCAATTTAATGGAAAACAACAGAGAGTTTAAGGAAGAATTTGCTACTTTTCGATGCATCCGTCGAATAGAACATTGTTGCCTTAATTTATGCTTTCACGACCATTGATATCATCTCAATTCCTTTTTTTTATTATGTCTCCATTCACAAAGTGTTCTTCTCAATCCCGCCACGGTTCAGCGAGCGCAATTGCAGTGAAAATCGGCACAATGTATGTCACGAATGCATCCAATTCTTATGTACAAAGTATAAGAAACACTCGCCGTGAGACAGAAAACGAATCCACAAATGGCTGATGGTATTTTTCTCAATTTGACACCCGTGATTTCTCCACCCCAAGAGAGAGACGACACGGCGATTCCTCATGTTTCTTATTAGAGTGAAATGAAGTGTTTGTTCGTGTTTATGAGGAATGTTGGGCGAGTGAAAAATTCTCCTCATTGCCATGAAGAATCTTCAAGTGTCATTCAAATATTTCTCTTATTTTGACTTCTATTTATATACATATTTTGGCTGAGATTTTTATTTATTTCCCTGTCACATGAACGCCCCACGAATTTTATGGGTCCGTTGAGACTTTTCGCATCGCGAGAAGTTGGGTGATAAATCTAACCAAGCATATTTTCCCATTGATTTGCAGTGACATTTCTGGGCATGTCATCTTCTGCAATCCATGGAGCAGCGAGGAAAGCCACTGGTGAAAGCAATCAGCTCCTTGGCTTGGACGGAAGTCGTCGGCGTCATCACATGAGATGCTGCCGGTGAATTGATTCTGCACGCGGTGTTATCGGACAGCGCACGGAGTAATTGTCGAGAGAGAGAGTAAATAAATAAGAGTGGCGGAGAAAGACGAGAAAGAACTCAAGTATAAATAGATGGAGCGCAAGAGATCGGTGAGACGGCGCCAGAGCCAAAAGTTGCCTTTTGCAGAGCGCGCAAAGGAGCATTGCCGGAAGTTTACAGCATTTATGTTCAGCAATGTCGGAATCATTTTGCTAGTTGTGCTCTACACAATCGCTGGTAAGTTGCACACAGCTCCAAATGACTGTCCACGACTCTCCTTGGCCATTTTTGGCTTCACCCTCAAGGAGCAAACTTTCAGGACAATAAACCGCAATGGCGCGCTCATAGATTCCACAGAGTTATGCACATGTTTTATGGCACTTCATTATAATTTCATTGGAGGTGAACGGAAAGTCCAGTGAATTTGAGCATGAATTTGCTTTTGAGTGCACTTTTATTGATCAATTTGATTCGAATTTAGAAAATTTTTATAAATTCAACCGAAATTCCCCTTTTTTTGCAACAATTCCATCTGTTTTATTGGACTTTTCCCAAGATTGTTGGACTTTTATGGGTATTGTTTGGGTGAATTAATGTACTTCTGTTTCAGAAATCTGTATTTCTCGCATACTCAACATTTTATAGTGGGAAGAATCTCTGGCAACTTTGAACCATTTCACAAATACAGTGGTGAAAATTTGTTTAAGACACCTGCAAAAATTTAGGTCAATTGAATAAACAAATTGGATTTGTATTTTACACTTAACAAAATACCTGTAAACATAATTTGGGCAGCAATTGTGCGGAAAAAATACAGCAAAACAGTTAAACAAGTTAAGCAAGTTGATAAATCTTAATCAACGCGGTTTATTTAAGACTTATTTAATATACAATCACACCACAGGCAATAAATCGTGAAGTGAATTGCATCGAAGCCCTTCACATCTTCTTATCGCGCCATAGAAATGTCAATAAGAAGGAAGATTACGCTGACGGCAATATGATGATTTTCACTGAATTTTTGTGGTGTCCTAAGCTTATTTTCGCTACTGTGTATTGCACAAACATACAATATGTACCTAAATTCTCATATGTATATGCGCGATGTCAGAAGCGAGCATGGTTTATTTTAAAAGCATTCATTGAGAAATATTGGGCAAAAGTGTATTTATAGTAGCAATTCTTCCCGCTTCGGCGTGTATTTCACTCCTGATAAGCGCTGATCATGCACAAGTGAAGGTTGGAAGAATTGTGGCATCATCGCTTTGGCACTGAGGCAATGCTAATGATGATGGTTGCATCTCTTTCGCACCATTAAAATGATTGATTGTCATTTGAGATTTGAAGTTTTGTGCATGAGTAGGAAAGTTGCGACAAAACAGCGAAGATGTTGAATGTCGCATGATAACTCCATTGAAAGTTCCCGGCCAGGGGGTGGGGGGTTGGGGGGGGGGGGGGTGAAACTTTGTGCAACTTCAAGCATCTGCAGGGGTGGAGTGAGTCACGATGACGGGTGAGACGCGGAGGGATGACGACAAACAACGGGGAAAGTTAATTAATTTCTGTGTTGTCCTCGTATTTGTAGGTGCCTTCATGTTCATTGCCATTGAGGGCGATGGTGATTTGGAGAGATCAGCCGAATTAGCGAGGAACCGAGTGTCCGTGGCGGCGAAGCTGTGGAATATCTCGTGCTGCGAAGCGAACATTTTCAATAAGTCAGCATTTATAGAGTTGTTAGTTGAGCTTTTAGATAACAAAACAACATCTAATTTGAAATTTTAACCGGAAATTGCATCCTAGAGTTGGTCAGCAGATTCTCAACCACCAGCAGAACATCGTGAGGGCGGCCAAGGGTGGAATGGCGGAGACGACAAAAACCAAGACGAACAATAAATGGACATTCTCCGGGGCATTTCTCTACTCCTTGACCGTAATTACGACAATTGGTAAATGAATTATGTTCATTTTGTCATGCAAATATCTTCAGCTTCCTCTCAAATGTCCTCTCTCGCCTTGTCTCCCTCGCGTACACTCCTTCCGACAAACTTCCCTCCCTTCAACCCCCCAACTGTTAATTTAAAGTTAATTTGCAAAGAGTGTTCGTCGTAAGCTAATTAAAATCGTATTTATCATTTCTTAATAATAGGAACAATTTTTCTTCCTCCTCTAGTTCACAATTCTCTCCATTTTCTCCGCTTTTCTGGCACAATTTCCTCCAATGGGACGCACACCCATTGACGCTGGCACTGTGGTTAATGAAAACTTTTCCCCCCAAGTGGCATAATTAACGAAAAATAATTTTTCAACACAATAATACATCGCTGCGAGCGGATGTTGCATGTTGAAACATCCAAAAGCACAAATTCATGTTCAAAAGTAATACAATTGGGCTTAAAAGCTTTTAATGATGGAGGGTGTACTTGTGCTATATTAACTGGGTGATTTCACAGCATTTGTATTTGCCGGAAAATCGAAAATGTTTCAATTATACTGTAATTTGGTTCTTTGGGAAATATTCAATGGTTTTGCAAAAATACTTCAAAGAGACTTTTTCAATAGAATCAATTGACATGAAGCTTATTTATTTCATTGAAAAATGTGTTATTCGCTCTCTTTATATATCATGCTAACATTAATGCAATCTTACTTCTTGTTGACATTTCTATGGCACGATAAGAAGATGTGGAGGGCCTCGAATGATTCTAGCTTTTTGTTGCCAATGGACTCAGAATTACTGATCCAGAGTCAAAATCAAAGAATTTGCACTGTTTTTCGGCATCAAATGATTAGAAAAGCAATATTTATCGTATGCAAATGTTGAATTCTGCCAATGAATCGATGACTCGACGTAGAAAGAGGATTTTTGTGATTGTTTCATAAGAAACGCTCAGGAAAGCTTGTACAGAAGCACAATTATAAATCCGAAATCTTGTGAGCTTTAATCTATACATAATATGTCTTTTATATTTGCCCAAAAACATCTCCTCTTAATTCCCATTGAAGAGCTCAGAAATTGACAAAGAATGAATGACGAGATAACTTTTCATTTGAATAAAACTTAGTCAACAAATGGGAAATTTAAATGCATTCTTCATTTTGGATTTCACAATTTTAATTATAATTGACTGCAAGGATGCAAATACTGGCGAATGACTTTGCAAGGAGGAAGTGCAGAAGATGGCAATCAGCCAAAGTGGGATGAGCGAGCACTCAAGGAATATTTCTCTCTCTCTCTCAATTGCAGGATATGGAAATTTAATACCACGCACAAAGTGGGGAAAGATTTGCACAATTGTGTATGCAATAATTGGCATGCCGCTCTTCCTGCTCTACCTGTCCAACATCGGTAAGTGTTCAGGTGGGGGAGAAGTGGCCGAAATCTTCTATTTAATCACCTTGAAATGTATTGAAAGGAGACATTCTCGCCAAGTCATTCAAGTGGATTTACGCCAAGGTGTGTCTGTGCAGAATTTGTCCGGGTGTGACACGGCGGCGGGCGGCGCGGCAGCGGCGGAAGGCCAGAGCTTTGACTGCTGAACGAGATAATCTGCCAGTTTGTATATTTGCCCAGGCACACACATTGTGGATTAAATCCATATCTTATGCACATATCATCACCCCACGAAATGTGACACAATTCTCTTGCATTCATTAGGAGGGTTACTTCATCGAAGGCGGAGATCTTGAGACGCTCTCCAACTCCTCCGTCGACGCGAACGAGTCGAGCGAGGAGGAGGAAAATGCTGGTGATACTGAAACCGTGATAGTGCCATTAACAATTTGTGTCATCATCATGATTGGGTGAGTGAATAAGAAAATTCACAATAAACACCGCATAACTCAATTTCTTCGCATGTATAATGCTGAAGCGGGTGGAGTTAATTCCACATCTCAGAACAATTGAGCAAGGGGGAGATAATGCCACTGTACACCACTTCCTGTCACTTCCACAGTTTCTGTGAGGAATCACAGACACTTCCACAGCTTAAAACATGCATTTTCTCTAACATAACCTCAAATTTAAAGAGTCTTTGACATAGAATTTCGCCATTCTTACTTTTATCATCTTGAAAACTTACAAAGAAACAGTATTTGAGAAATATTTTAAGTTCCCAGTGGATATTTTGATGCAATTCAATTTTTCAACCGCTGTTTTGGGTACAGTTTGAAACATAACCTAAAAATTCTATGAAAGAAACATATTCTGAATTCTGAATCTGTTATAAATCGACAATGAATTGAAATTTGATGTTTTAGAGTAGAAAATCATTCAAAAAGCTCTTAAAATATGCAATTTTGTATCCTGAAACTTGTCCTGAAACAATATTTTAAAGGTTATGATCAATTTTATAATAATTAACACAGTTTATCATTGAAAACTTGTGATCTTCATCAGATTTCCTTATTATTGCGCTAGTAAATGTAAAAGATTTTTAGGTTATGTCTCAAAATTTGTCTTAAATTTATAACATAACCTAGAAAAATGCGAAGAACAATTCTCTTTCTCCAATTATTGCGTTAATTACTTTTGAAAGTGACTTTTGAACACATCATATTGAAGATACTGAAATACTTCTACAGAGCTTTCCACCACTTCTGACCACATTATCTCCCCCTTGCCATTGAGTGCTTCGCCAACACCGCGTTATTGCCTTATGAGCATCTGAACAAAGTGCCATTAACACTATTATGCCCCTGATGGCGAAAGGGTGAGCGCGGCGCGCTGTAAAAAAATCTAAAACAGACATTTTACGTCCCGAACGCTTTTACACCCATCAGGTCATGCAAGGGCAGATTGTTGGGGTTCTGGGGCTCGTGACACCCTTGCATTTGCATACACCGACAGCCTCATATTACCGCCGGTGCGACGCGGAGACCCAATAAAAACAAAACGAGGCGCTCGTGAAATCTCGTGGGCGCTATCAATTGCTCCTGGCGTATGCGAAAGAGCAGAAGATTGTCGCAATATATGGCGTGCAATATAAAAGGCATCTCAATTGCAGATATATCCTTTTTGGAGCCACTCTCTTCGGCCACTGGGAGGACTGGGACCCGCTGGAAGGGAGCTACTTCTGCTTTATATCGCTCAGCAGCATCGGCTTCGGCGATATGGTGCCGGGATTCAAGGTATTCAGTGTTTAATATGTGCAGCGGAGAGCGGGGCAGAATGAGCCTCAAGGATTAAAAGGTCGAAGAATGAAACCATCACACAATCAAAGGTCTTTTCCGGCCACATTAGCACAGATATCGACCGATTTCTCACATATTTAGAGATTGATTGACAAGTCTCTGTCAGTCCGAGTGGGGCAGCTTCGAACAGCGCCATTTTCAGAGAGAAAATTCAACTTAACATGCGAATTTTCACAGTTTTCCTTGTTATTTTCAATTATATAGCAATAATAAACTTAAATAGCTTCATGTTTTTCATTTTATTCACGGGGGATTTGCAAGAATTGAAAAAATGACGTCTCTGTCAAATGTGTCTCTACTAATGTGTCTCTGCTAGCCTACGATAAAAATATTTAAATTTCCTTTCCAATAATCTATCAATCATGAAGCTATTTTTATGCTTTTTTATGATAACTTTCTAAGAATGACTTAAAAAAGACAGACAGAATGTGCCTCAAAATTGTCCGAAAATGCCCCGCAGTGGGGCAGTTTTGTGCAAAATGACGTAAAATGAAAAACCTTTGCATTTTTCTACCCTCAGAAGGCCATTTATTTAAAATTTCCCCGCTCTCCTCTAGAATCAGACTCTACAAAGCCATTTAAGGGAATAAATTGTCACCAATTGCGATTTAACTTTGGCAATTTTATGCATTTGCATCATATGCAAGCTGTTTTCGATACTTTTCGCTGTGAAATTTACCTGAAATGGCCTCCAGAGGGGCTGATAAACAATTAAAGGTGTCGGAATTGAGTTCATAAGAAAGTCATTCGGACGATCTACTGGCTCACTATACTTTTGTACGTTTTATGAAGAGCTCTGGCGGCTTTATTCCGCCGAAAGACCGCCCTTTGAGGCATTTCCCTGGCGGTCATGGTGCGATGCTGCACATTTGGCTCAACTCCGAAAGAATTGGAAGTAGCATTTCAGCTTATATTGCACCACATAATAATATATTTCTTTGAGATCTCATAAAATACCCACCAAGCGTCTCCATTTGGCCCCCAATAAATTCCGTGTCTTTCTCAGTTGAGCAGCAACAGTGGAAACACTTCTGTTTATTCATGCTTCTGTCTGGGGTGGAAAATTACTCCAAACGTAGTGGTTAATGTGGGCATTTTGTCCAAATGTACTCTTTTCCTCCTCATTCTTTTATGCACCGCCACGAAATGTGTGTCCAGGAGACTTTTATGTGTGATTTTCAAAGGAAATTTTGCAGGACAAAATAGCCCGAAGAGTCTCAATAAATTCACTATAATTGTACGAATAGCAACTTGTCTTGTCCAGAATTCTGGCTTAGAATCAACTGACAAGATCTTGAGGCCAATTTCAATAGATTGCAACTAACAGACAAGCATTATGTTCAACGTGTTTACAGGGAAATTTTATTCATCATGAAGGTTGTTCCAAGGGGGAGATAATATGGCCAGAAGTGGTGTACAGATCAGCAGAAGTGTTTCAATTTATGCAATATTTGGTTCACAGCTTTGATTTTCTGTTTATTATTCTCATTATTCTACTCTCAGAAATTATTTGCTGCACAAAATTTAATTTTGTTATATTTTTCTAGGTTATGTGACTGATTTAAGACTAAATAGCATCTTAAAGTAGAAATTCTAGCGACTAAACTGAAAGTCTTTTCACTCTATTGGTAGAATCGCGTTTTTTTCTCAAATAACGACTCAAGGAAAGTCATTATTTTAAGGAACAATGCTAAAGTGAAACATAACCTCAATTTTTCTTTAATAAACTGTAGCGAAAAATCACAAAATATTGTCCGGAAACTAGAATTTTAATGTTTTCAGTTAGATTTTAGTTAGTTTTCGGTTATATTTCAGTTATTTTTCCATGAATTCTCAAGGATTTTTCATACAAATTGTGGAAATGGCAGGAAGTGGTGTACAGATTTGAGCCATATTATCTTCCCCGATGGTTTGTTCAATTTACGAGATGATTCCGAATGGAGGTGCATAAAAATTTAAACAACTCACTGGGGAAGGGCGGTGGTTTATGGTCAGGAATTCCTTCATATTTATGACACCATATTATACAGGAGTATGTAAATGGGGAGCTTTTACGAGTGTTAATTGCATATGTCATAGGTAATAAATTCCGAATGGCGAAAGATTTTTGGCACGTTTAGTCTGTTGGTCAATAACTTTCGAATTAATTCGCCCAAAAGTTCGCCCGAATCGTTTATCAAACCGGGTGGGAAAATGGAAATTGGCATAATTAATGCTCTCCTGCGCACCAATTCAAATTATGTTTGGAAATTGCTTTTAATAAAATTATCTGTTATTAAACCCACAGATCACTGGCTTCGAAGGAACCGGCGTGGAGTTGAGCTTCATTCTCTGTGCCATTTATTTGCTGCTGGGCATGGCACTAATTGCGATGTGTTTTAATTTAATGCAGGTGAGCAAATCAACATCTCTCTCTCTCTCTCTCTCTAATCACACTTTGTCCGAATCGAATTAATTTTTAACGCCAACCACAAAGTCTCCCCACAATCCTTATTACGCCACTGAGTTGGACATTGGCATATTTGCAAGATTCAGAGCGATGAAAATGCTGGGAAAAGTTAAATATGTGGGAAAAAGGGGAGGAAAAAATCACAGAGAATCAGAGTCGCAATTAAACCAATTGATTTTCCCAGTCGAAATTAAGCGCATGTGAATTTCTTTTTGCACTTTTGATGAAGAGCATCAAAGTTTAACTCAAGGGACAGATATTATGGCCAGAAGTGGTGTACAACCTCAAAGGAAGCCTAGAAAAGTCTATTTTATCGCTTTTTTTAGGTTATGTGATTGATTAAAAACAGATTTTAGTGATTAAATAACCTCAAAATCATCAAATTTGCGTTAAAAAACCGGATTTTCTCATTTTCCTGCCAGATTTGAACATTTACGTTCGAAAAAACTCCAATTTTAAAACATAACCTCAAAAATGTCATTTGTTTGTGCTCTAAAGTGGCAAATTCAGCCTCATTTTGTAGTAAAAACTTCAATATTTTCTATATTTACTCATTTCTAAGGCTGAAAAGATTTAAATTAATGTAAAAAGGACTTTCAAGTCGGATTCATAACCTCACAATTTGGTTAAAAATTTGTCTAAGAATTTTGTGAAGACAAAACTAGCGAATTGAGTCAGAAATTGTTGAAATTTGAAGAGCAATTGAAGAACTTAAAGCTTAAATGTGCACATTCAAGGCTTCTTGTCTGCGCCTTGGTTGAACTTCCCAGAAAAGAATCTCCTTTTTGCGCTGGACAACGAATTTTAATCACACCCATTGGATTTCCGACAATTGTGGGAATTGATTTGGTCCAAAATGAGTGGAATTCCACACTAATTGCTAATATTGTGTTCAGAGTTTGTGAAATATTCTAACTTTTCGGGGAATTCGCTCGATGGGCACGTTTTAATATTTGACGATGTTCTGATGCACAGGAGCAGGTGATGCACAAGATGAGGACATTCAGGAGGTGCATTCGGCGGTGCTTCCACTGCGACAGGTGATGATTCAGGACAACAGCTCGTGACTCATCAATAAACAATCCCATGAATGAGGCCGTGAAAGAGGTTCATGTGTTTATGACGTGTTTCACACACAGAATCGTGGTGACAATTCAGTCCCATTAGAGCCCCTTTTCATCGCCACCGCAAGCGCTCTTCGTGTGTGCATTCTGCTTTTGAGGGCTCCAAGAGTGCAGAACAACCCCATGGAGAACACAAGAGACACTGCCAAGATTCATTAGCTGGTCGTTTTAAATCTTCTTTTCCACCCCCCACTTCATCCCTCTCTGGAGCAGCACTGCGAACGGAATGGCGGCGATTGGGGATGTGGGACAAGCGAGAGATCCTCAACTGGAAGAACTTGCCGGGGATGGAAAATGTTTTTGGAAATCAATTTCAATTAAAATCACACCCAGAGTGTAACATTCCATTAATAAAGACCATGTGAATTTTGTCTACTTTATTGCTGCCATATCAAACTCAATTTGCACTTGACAGTCGCGTGAGTTAGTGCGTTTTGTGGCTTTGTTCAACACACATATTGCACAGCAAAATTGCAAGCCTTTCGCCTCACTAATTTCACATATTTAATACTAAATGTCCCTCATTTTGCCCTCTAATTAAATTGCGCGAAGGGAAAAACTGCCAGGCCTTCGAAAGATCCCAATATTTGCTGACTGAAGTGACTTTTTCACTACATCATCGCTATAATACAACATTGTCTAAGTAATTGTCAAGACCACTGGGGAATTTCTTGGATGTCTCATAATGTCGAAAATGAATATGTATGAGATGGGGAGATAATTAGATGGAGATAGAGATAAATAAGTGGAACAGCTTAGCGTGGAGAGATTAATTTGTGGGAGGGCGAGAGACTTTTTCTTCTGCTCTGCTCCTCAAAAAAGAATTCAGTACTTTTTTTTTTCTTCAAATGGTGGATGTTATTTGGGTGGAAAGCATAAATTATCTGCACAACTTCAACTTCTCCAATATATTTCAGCCATTGGCTCCACCCAAATGGTGCCACTTGATCACAATCCAAAAGTGCCCAAAGCCCAAACTATCCGGACTTTGCAAGATGTACCCAAAGAGATCAGCGAAGTGTGGTGTGAGTCGCCGCTTCTCCGTCTTTTGCTTGTGAATCGGCGGGAAGCGCAAGGGGGAGATAATGTGGTCAGAAGTGGTGTACAGATCAGCAGAAGTGCATCAATTCTTTTGCACTTGACTCACTGCTTTGAATTTCTGTAAAAGACTTAATTTTGACATATATTTTCTAGGTTATGTGACTGATTTAAGACTAAATAGCATCTTAAAGTAGAAATTCTAGCGACTAAACTGAAAGTATTTTCACTTTATTGGTAGAAATGCGTATTTTTACTCAATGAAATTCATAATCCAATGGTAAAGTCAAACATAACCTCAAAAAATCATAAAATATTGTATGAAAACCTGAGTTTCAGAAGTGTTTAGTTAGATTTCGGTTAGCTTTAAGGTAATTTTCAGGATAATACAACTAAAATTTGGTTCAATATCATTGATTTTGATAAAATTCTTCATTTTGACATATATTTTCTAGGTTATGTGACTGATTTAAGGCAAAATAACATCTTAAAGTAGAAATTCTAGCGACTAAACTGAAAGTATTTTCACTTTATTGGTAGAATTGCGTATTTTCACTCAATTAAACTCATAATCCCATGGTAAAGTCAAACATAACCTCAAAAAATTATAAAATATTGTATGAAAACCTGAGTTTCAGAAGTGTTTAGTTAGATTTTGGTTAGTTTTCAGTCAATTTTCAGGGTAATAAAACTAAAATTTGATTCAATATCATTGATTTTCATATAATTCTTCATTTTGACATATATTTTCTAGGTTATGTGACTTTTTAGAGACGAAAAAAGAGTTTTAAATACAAATTCTCAAATGTTGCAATTAAGTTGAGAAAATCATCAAATATTGTATAAAAAATTCTTTGAGACAGTCTGAAAATCAAAGTTAAAAACTGTTAGTTAGATTTTAGTTAGATTTCAGTCAGATATGAGTATTTTTCAATTGCAATGCAGAGATTTTCGCCATTATCTTCCCCTTGAGCGAGGGAGTGAAGTCAAGAGAGAGAGGAATGAAAATGTGGAGCGAGATTTATGGCAGTGTTAGTGATTTTAATGAAAATTATACTGACTTATCAGTTTGTCCTGCTGAATGCGCGCATTTCAATTGGAGGCCGCGCCTAATCTAGTGTGATTATTGTAATTGCGTGGCAAGGTCGTGTTTGCACTTTGCTTATACTTTCTGCCACATTTTGCAATCATTAATCACTTAATGGACTCTCTCTTGGCGTGATGGAGTAAAATATTGCAAAATTTGAGGAGATTAGAGCGTCTTTTTCGGCGTGGGACGGACAATTAAATTAGTGTGTTGTGAAGAAAGAATTTGACTGTCAGTTTACGTGAGACTTTGTATACGAGAAAATTCCTCTTTTGGGTCATGTTAAAGTGTAGAAACAATGGCTTGAAATAATTGATCCAGAGCTGATGTAAGACGCCGAGGGTGGAGTTTGAGAGTCGTGCAAGTGTAGGTATCTCTGGGTGTTATAATAAAATATATAGCAAGGGGGGATGGTGGAGAGGAATGGCGCGGGTGGGAGGATGTGGAAAACATGAGATTAAACAGACTTAGTTGTAATCCGATTTAATGAAATTTTCATGAAATTTCCGCTGCTGTGTCGCCTTTTTTTCCCCCTTATATTTCACAATCCTCCTACTTTCCATGTCACATGTCCTTCGCAACTCCTTCGCCATCAACTCCGTGTCTCACCCGAAACTAATTGACTTAATTTTCAATCGAACATAATTAGAGATCAGCTCCTCCGTCACTCCGACACTAAAGCTCTCTCACCCGACGCAAGTTTTATCCACCTTTTCATCTGTCATCTCACACATTAAAGTGGGAAGTTTCCCTGACTTTGGCAACACAATGAACATCTCCCTTGACTCTCGGATACACATCCTCAGATTTACACCAGTTGCCCTGGGATGAGTGAGGGGATGAGGGTGAGAGAGAGACACACACATCGATGGCGGTGCCGAAATTCGGCAGCCCCACAAGTAATAAATCTATTTCCGCTGTGATATTGAATTTGTCACTTTGCAGTCCCTCCTCAACTCTATTAATGTCAACCTTCTTTTATCCCATGCGCCTCGTAATTAAATTATTACACGCATTTATGCGTAAATCACCGTGGCTGCGCTGAAAAAGGGGGAGAGGAAAATGCGGCCGGCGTATAAAGATTGTCGTAAATTTTCACATTGACACATACTTATTTTATTTTGACAATCACTCATTTCACCACGCATTCAAATGTCGCCATGCGAAATAAAAATATTTATTTTCGAGTTATATTGCAGAAAAGTGTTTGGGTGTGCAAAATAAATATATATATTTTTTTACTGTTTTGGCCTTTGGCATTCGCAAGAATGAAAATTTGCACATAATATGAGTGAAGGCGAGATGAGATTCACTGTTCTTTTCACATTGATTCCAATCTCACCTATTCACTGGCTATATTGTACCTTTCGCTTCCATTTTTCCGGGGCCACTTTCCCTCTGCAGATGTAGAGTTCACCTTCGATAAGAATCTCATATACGGCAGTTGATATTACAACCTCATGGGCTGATCCTCATCCATTCACCCGGCACGCAAGCGAACCTTCAATAAATTATCGGGATGTTGCGTATGTTTCAGCACATTTCCCAGTTCCAGAGTGTCACTTTAGCCGACTTGCTTCTCTTCTCTTTAAAGTTATCGACAAATGACCTATCGACAATGAATTTAAGACAAGATTCAATAAAACTTTAGAGGAAAAATATCTAAGATCGACGGTTTAAGACTTAATTAGTTCATATCAGACATATTTTTTCTCTAAAATGGTATTAAAAAGAGAAATTACACATTATCCTTATCGATAAGTGTCGAAAACTCACTGACACTATATCATAAGTGGGATAAGACCCTAGAATTGCAACAATTGTGTAACATTGAGGCACATTTAAGATCTATGCTGCAACTTTACATTGCAAAAGAAATGTAGAAAAATCTAATTATTTTTCAAAAACCTACAAAGCAAACACAAAGACATGTTCTGAAGGATTGTAGGCTATAAGGTCACCTTTCCACAATGCTTTTACTTTTGAAAAACCTTTAAAAATTGACGCTGTTGTTTTTAGTTAAAGACAAGAGAATTTTCTGTCGAAAAACTAACATTTCTACCATCAGGCGACCATTTGCCGACTTTGATATGTTCTAGAGAGTTATAGGTTGTAAAGTTATCTTTTCAAAATGCAATTACTTTTGAAAATCTACAGAAAAATAACGGTTTAGTTAAAAATTCAAAATTCACAAGAGAATTTACTGGTCGAAAGGTGAGCTTTTTAACCATCTGGCGATCATTTGTCGACTTTTGTGCCTTCTAGTAAAGTCATATTAAAAAAAAATTTAATTACAAAATATATTTTTAAACCTTGAAATAACAATTCAGTGACCTAGATTGCATGGGAAACAATAAAAAGATATACAAAGTGAGCTTTAATGACCCAAGATTTTATGTATTTTAACATCGGTTAAGATGTTAACCTTTGGAAAAGAGTCGTCGAAGGAGGGAAAAGATGTTGCCAAAACATTTGCAGCATCCCAATATATTATAAAATCGTGACAAGCTCCCTTATTATTTTCAATGTTGTCTTCTGCCTCGCATACACCCTCATAACTAAAAAGGTTGCCCGTAAGGAGGAGATTGTCGCTAAGCCATGACCTGATGATTGAAAGTTTGCAAGTGGGCCGAGTCCAGGCTTTAGAGGGAGAGAGAGAGGGAATGCCAGTGGAAATGTACAGCTGCTGGGGAAAGTTGCCTGATTTTATCAATTTTCGGAAGGGAAAAAGCTCGGACGAGCGAACTAATCATGTTAACAAATTCATAAATCCCCCGAAAAAAGCCCTGCGACTTTTGGTGTATTTTTCTCACTTAAACTACCCCACAAGGGGCTTAAGGGGGTGGGAAGGGGAGGGATGAAAATGCTGTGTAGTGAGTTCAACAGATTCGCAGCAAAATTGTTTGCCAACTTCATTCTGAAGCCAAGACAAACAGTCCAGTGTCATTCAGAGAATGTCTGCGTGTCTCACAAACACACACACACACTTTTCCTTCTCCTCAAACTTTTGCTTGAGAATATGTTCATCTTCCACATGTCTTAGGAAATTCATTCCAGAAAGGAAAATTCCCCAGTTTGGCCACTGTTTGCTCAGCCTTACTTCGCATTTCGTACCCTTTTTCCATGGAAGAGAGGAAATGTGATATATTTGCCTGGGTGTTTATTTTAAGGAGAACAAGCCCGAATGTGAGCACAGATGATGTTTCGTGAAAATTAAACAGCTGATAAAGAATTCCATTTGATATCAATACACTTAT